TGGGGCTCTGGGCATACATTCCCCTCCTCTTGCTTTTCCCATAAGCCTCTAGTGCATGGACAAAGTCCCCTTTGTGTGGGTTGTAGCTCTTGGCGAGAGGGCCCACAGCTTTGAAACTTGTTTGAACGATGCGATTTTCATTTCTATCTGTCCTTTGCGTCCTCTCTCCCATTTTGAATCAGCCATCTCTCACTCTCTCTCTTTCTATCTCTTTCTCTCTCTCTCCACTTGTTCCTTGTGTCGCAGCTCTGCTTAGCAACAGCATGAAGCGAGTGCCCACTGAGGCTTTAGTGCTTGGTATCCCAGTTTTCTGTATGCATTGCAGGGTCACTTTGTGTGTGTGTGGACTTTGTAGAACAAAGTTTGGACATCACACTGGCTCAGATGAGTTAAACAGTACAGCTTAGTCACTTCCTGTAAAAAGAACATTTCTGAAAAATTAGCAAATATTGCAACTCGAAATTGTTTGACTTAATCAATGGACAGCAAGTATTTTAATAATGTGTCTCTGTATATAGTTAATACAACATAATAATAATAATAATAAAATATATTTTTAAATAATGATTTGTGGCAATACTTTTTTTTGGGGGGGCTTGATAAATAGAGTAACAATAATATAATGAAAATCTTATATTATATATATATATATATATATATATATATATATATATATATATTATGATTTGACAAATTTGTGCTCAATAATGTTTATTATTATTAGAAAAATTTTACTGCAATTTTATTTGTCAAAATCAAATATTTTTAGGTGATTCCACTTCGAAAGAACAACTTTTTTTCTTAAATTCAACTATTACATGATTAATTTCAATAACAAATGTATTTATTCAATAATAAATGTGGCTGCACAATGTCGAAAAAATCTAACGTTGCGATATTTTGTTATTCTGTGATATATATTGTGATATAATTGATACAATTGATGACTTGAATATCTCTATTTGGAAAGAATGTATAATTTCAGATTGCATAAATTATAATAAACAATCTACAAGCATGGATAAACACAATTAAGAAAAAGATTTAAAAAATCTAAATACAATTTATTAAACACAAATTAAATACATGTTTTATTGTTTCATGAGCAATTTAATAGTATTCGACTACACAGAATTTGAATAATCAAATGCTACTGCGTAATCTTTATTGTAAATAATTCAATAAAATGAATCATTATTAAACTTACAAACGGTACAATTTAACATAATTTAATTTTATATAATATATATATATATATATGTATATATATATATATATATATATATATATATATATTAATAAGTACACTACTAACAAATCTATCTTTTACATTTCTATTTTTAAAAGGAGGCTATACGATTAGATTAATCAGTACTAAAACCAAATTCAGAGCATGTCTAACAGAATAACCTATGATAACGGTCCAAAACTAGTATGCCCAAATGTAAATGTTACAGAAAAAAAAAAAATACAAATGCAAAAAAGAGCAAAAATCAAGAGACCTGTGAGAAAAAAAAAAGTACAAATTGTTTTGAAATTTTGTTGGTTGTAATTTTTTTTGCAATATTTAGCTTAAACGTAATTGTATTATCTTTTAATTTCTAAATATGATTGGGGACCAAAATATTATTTTAATCAATATATCTGCTTAATTAATCTGTTTTGTATAAATGCATTAAAGTACATTGCCTATTTTCACCGAGAAATTGATAATTTTTTTAAAAAATGGGGTGTACTCAATTATGCTAAACATATTTATTTATTTAATTATATTAAATTGTTTAAATATTCATTTATTTTTAAAATTGTAGTAATTCCAGACTATGATGTATGTATGCATTTATTTCTATTATTATTATATTTAAATTGTAAAAAACATTTTCTTTATATTACTGTACTGATTTTTATAGTCTGTTACAGTGTTTTGAATTGTAAACATTTAATGGTGTACTCTATGAACAAAGGTGTTTTAGATAATTGCATTACGTAAACGTTTAAATGAGTTACTGATATTTTACAGCTAGTATAGTTTTAAAGTTTCTTCTAATTCTGTTATCACTACTGATAACATCTCCGACTTGTCTTCTAACATATCAGCAGCAGTAAAATTTGTGGAAATCACTAGCTGTGAAAAACTATTGTGAACGCATGTCCGCCACTTCCGTCCCCAGCAGATACTGCATTTTAATGATCTTTTCAAAGAAACTGGAGCGCTTTATAGATAGTCATTCAGTCTGGAGCTTTGTCAGAAATCAGACTGTTTGAATGCAAAGTTTTACAACCAGATTATTCATTTACTCAAATTCTGTGGTATCCATGTTGTTATGTTGATGTTATCAACATTAGAAGGTGTCAACTCAAGCTAGTGACATCAGCAGTGGAGGTTATAACACTGTATGAAATGCCTATGCAAGAGGCATGTACGTCACAGTATTCATGTCTTGTAATTATCGATTGATTGAGTTTTGTTTATACTTTCCTTAATTTTTAAAGTTTTTAATATTATTACTATTATTATTGTTATTTATTGTTATTAGTTTTATGTATATAAAAATTTTTTTTTACAGAATTTATAGGTAGTTTGTACTTGTATTTAACAAATTACTTAACAAAGTGCTTTACATATTATGTAACAAAAATAATTTGTTTTATTTGGGTAAGGTTTTAATTAACTGTATAATTATTAATTACATTTAACTGTTCCTAGAGTATTTACAGAGTTTGGTTAAACAGCGCTTTCCTCCTTTGGCCCTCAAATGGAATGAAGTGCATAGTGTTATCATGTTGGAAATAATTCCATCTCTACATATTTTTAAAAATCTTTTGAAGTCTTATCTGGAAAAATCATGTGAATGTTTTGAGTAAATTTTAATACGTGCTATTTTATGTGTGTCTAATTTTTATCTGAAACTTTTTGTGCTGTATCTCAATAGGAAATTTTGGGGAAAATAAAGGATAAATAATAGACAAAATAATAATAATAATAATTAAACTAGAATAGCAACAATAGTTTTATGCCAAAGACAACCTTTTGTTAAATAATGTTAATGTTGCAGTTTACTTTTGTTTATCCGTAAAGTGTTAATTTATTAGCTTGTAACAGTTTTCTTAATTTGTAAGAAATTCTCTTCTTAAATGAGAATTTTTATCAGGCCCGTTGTGTAGGTTCAGTAATTTAATTATTATTATTATTTTTTTTACGGCAAAAAAAGTTATTTTTAAGTAAAATAAATCAACATAAACAAATTGTCCTTTTCGATTGAAATTTCAGACGACACTTAGAGATTTTTGCATCTAAACTCTTCATCTGTAACTGTAAATTCATATCATAAATTCATATGCCATTAGGCTGGAGATCAGGCCTAATGCCATAAGTGAAGACGGCAAGCCGGAAATATGATAAATAAATAAGTTAAATAAATGACTGAATCAACTTGCATTCCATCCAGTTACCTGTAAGTCTAGAAACCTAATAAATAATGTTTATTTCCATTTGAATATTTTTCTATATTTGACTGATAAGTGAGAATCAGTTTGAACTGTCAACATCTGTCAATTATATCCCATTAAATCCCAATAAATAAAAGTTTTAAGTGTTTTTTTTTTATTAACTAAACAGAATCAGCTTGAATTACTGCAAAAAACTCTGAAATATTCTTCTAAAATAATAATTAAAAAAAGCTCTTTTTAGTTTAAAAGTTTATTTTTTACCGAAAATTCAGACGGCACAGGTTTTTGCACCTGAATTTTTTTTCTGTAACAGTAAATTCCTATAAATCTCATAAATAAACAACTGATCAACTTGGATTGTCTTTCATCTGATAACCTGTAAGTGAACCTAATAAATAAAATATTAATAAAATGTTTAAAAATGAAATTAATCAAATTCAATTGAAGTAATCAACTTGAACTCCACTTAATGTGTTGACATCTAGTGTACATTTGTGTCTAATCCTGTTAACAAATTAACTAGTAAATGCTTTTTTCCCCCCCAGATATTTTTTTTTTTAATGAATGAATCAACTTGAACACTGCCCTATGCTGATAAAATGACATTTTAAAGTTTAGGTCACAAATAACTTTAAACATCAACTCATATTTTAATTTTTTACACTAACTTTCACTGCCAGATTTTGGATGATGAACCTTTAATAATAATAATAATAATAATAATAATAATAATAATAATAATAATAATAATAATAATAATAATAATAATACATTTGATCTGTAATGCACTTTTCTTAGACTCAAATCGCTACAAGGCAAAATAACAATAGCGGAAACAGAAATAAATACAACAAAACAATAACAATGAACAATAAGATAGAATAATATTGATGAGCTTAAGTCGATAAGCTGAGAGAGATTTAAATCAAACATTACTGTTTACTTTCTCTGTCCTACAAGAACTGATAAATATTCAAATTAGAAAACAAGGGAGAAGGAAAACGAGGCCCTCTTGTGAAGAAAGAACAGTTTGTGAAACATTTCCTAATTGTTAATGAGGGGCTCGGGGCAGCGTGCCAGAGCCGCAGGGCCAATGGAGACGGGGTACAGCCGTTGGATGGGCGGGCTGTTGCTCTGGGGTGACAAGTGGGACCCCCTTTTTAACTACCTAGGTGTCACTGTGTTGGAGTGGGGTGCACAGGACAGCAGGGCTCTAATGAGTGTCTAAGGGACTGCTTGGCTGTGTGAGGTCTCCTGTTTTTTGACCTCCCTCCCTCTTTCGTCCAGCTTTTATCTTGTTCCGGGGAACAAAAGTCCTTTATTTGAAGATAGGATGGATGCTTCAGATAACACGTTTGAGAACAATAATGTGGAGAAGATGGAGAGCAGTGAGGATGTGGATGCGGATTCAGAGCCGTCTGTGGTTAAGATTCCTCCACCTCCGTCTGAAAAGCTGGAGATCAGGCCTAATGGCATAAGTGAAGACGGCAAGCCGGAAATATGCAGCACTGTGCCTCCGCCACTGACGCGCAGTATTTTTCCTGTTACAGTTTCACCTGCTGCCGAGCGCATACGATTCATCCTGGGTGAGGACGATGACAGTCCTGCGCCTCCTCAACTTTTCACGGAGCTGGACGAGCTGCTGTCGGTGGACGGACAGGAGATGGAATGGAAGGAAACCGCCAGGTAAGAAGAGTGCTGGAGTTTGACTGGGGATCTGAGTGAGGCTATTAAAGGGAGCAGAGCTGTTCCAGTCACTGTTAAGAGCAAGATTTTAATGATGTTGAAAAACAGCTTGAAAGCTTCCCTGATCATTTTTGTTTATGCCTAGTAGCTTAATTTTTACCTCATGTTTGCACAGAAGTGATTAGATCAATTTAGATTTTATTTATGTAAAAAAGTGACATTTTAAATTTGCAGATAGTACTCCATATTAAACTCCTGTAAACTAATTATTATATCTTATTATTTGAGTTTTTACATTTCCATGCATATACAGTTGAAGTCAGAATTTTTAGCCCTCCTTTGAATATTTTTTTTTTCTTTCTTAAATATTTCCCAAATGATGTTTAACAGAGCAAGGAAATTTTCACAGTATGTCTGATTATGTCTGAATATTTTTTTCCTCTAGAGAAAGTTGTGCTTGTTTTGTTTTGGCTAGAATAAAAGCAGTTTTTAATTTTAATACACATTTTAGGGTCAAAATGATAAGCCCCTTTAAGCTATTTTTTTTTCAATAGTCTACAGAGCAAACCATTGTAATACAATAACTTGCCTAATTACCCTAATCTGGCTAGTTAACTTAGTTAACCTAGTTGAGCCTTTAAATGTCACTTTAAGCTGTATAGAAGTGTCTTAAAAATATCTAGTCAAATATTATTTACTGTCATCATGGCAAAGATAGAATAAATCAGTTATTAAAACTATTATGCTTATAAATGTGCTGAAAAAATATTTTCTCTGTTAAATAGATATTGAGGAAAAAAATAAACTGTTGTTGGGGGGCTACATATGTCAACTGTACATATGCCAACTTTTGCAGATGCTTTTATCCAAAGTATCTCCTAGAAGTAATCAAAGCAACAAAAGTTTGGTTTACTATATGCAAATAAATGACAATTGTCAGTTTATCTCATGGTGCGTGTATGTGTATATGTATTTATAAAAAAACAACAGAATTAAAAAGTAATATTTACACTGTAAAAAATGCAGGGTTTTACATAATTCAATTATGTTGTCCTGACACAACTCAACTAAGTTATTTTAACACTTTTAAAAAATGTATGTGGATTGAACATAAAAAAATTTAGTTTTCCCAATGAAATCGCAATAATTGTGTTGTCTCAGCTCATTTTAATTAGGTAGCTTAAACCAGCAAGCAAAAAAGTAAATAAAAAATTGATATAGACAAAAATAATGTGTCTGATTTGCATAACTGTTCAGAAGATTGATGTTAGTAAAACCCTTTTTTTTTTTTTAGAAGAGAAAGGGGTATAACTTTACAATAACATTATATCAGTTAATGTTAATAATTGCCTATACTAACATTTGTCACAGTATTTGTTTATGTTAGTTAATGAAAATACAGTTATTCAAAGTTAGTTTGTGTTAACTAATGGTGCATTACTAATGTGAACAATCATAAAAGTTAAAATGCATCAGTAAATGATGAACTATGATGAATAAATGTTGTTCAAGCATTGTTTATAATTAGATCATATTAGTAATTACATTAACTAACATGAACTAATGAAACCTTATTGTAAAATGTGACCGAAAAAGAAAACTGCATTATTTGGCAAGAATATATTAACCCTTTAAGGTGCCCTCATGTTGTATTGAATAATATGCTGGCACAACTCTGATAAATAGTAATAAGCATTTAAAATAATAATGATAGCCTGTGGACATTATTTTGTGAGCATCATAACTAAAACCCTAATACGTGAAATAAAAAATTCAATTCAATTCAGCTTTATTTGTATAGCGCTTTTACAATGTAGATTGTGTCAAAGCAGCTTCACATATATGGTCATAGTAATTGAAACAGAGTAGTTCAGTTTTTAGTGTTTAAGTTCAGTTCAGTTTAGCTCAGTTCAGTGTGCTTTAAAATCATTACTGAGAGTCCAAACACTAAAGAGCAAAAAAAATAAAAAATTTATATATAAATAATATATAATAATATAAATAAAAATAAATAAATCTTTTAACTATCTTATATTATCATCAAAATAATATCTTTTAACTTTTATTTAATGTTTAAATTGCAAATCCAGTTAGATCAACTTTATTTGGTAAACAAAGCAAGTCTCTTATATAATATATCGGTCACACTTTACAATAAGGTTAATTAGTTAATGTTATGTAATGCATTTACTAACATGAACAAACAATGAACAATACATTTACTACAGTAATTTTTCATGTTATTAAAAGTTAGTTAATGAAAATACAGTTGTTCATTGTTAGTTCATGTTAACTCACGGTGCATTAACTAATGTTAACAAGCATGGACTTGAATGTTAATAATGCATTAATGCATGTTCAATTATGATTAATAAATGCTAAACAAGTATTGTTCATGATTAGTTCATGTTAGTAAATGTTAATAAATGCATTAACTAATGAACCTTACTGTAAAGTGTTACCAATATATCTACTAAAAGATAGAAAATATTTCTGTACAAACTGCATTGTACATAAATCAGATAAACATGTTTATATAAGTCAATACTATTACTGAAATTAATTGAAAAAAATTAACGATGGGCTATAAATTTGTGGAAATCTACGGAAAATCTGCGCACAGATTCTGTGTGGTCCTACCTATGGATAGAAGGTCAACCAGGTGATTATGATGCCTGTTAATGCTGATCTTTTCAATTTTCAAGCTTTTCAGAATAAGTTTGAAGGATTATATGACACTGAAGATATTTGTGACATACTGAAGATGGAAGTAATTTCTCCTGAAAATGTTGCTTTGAATCAAATTAAAATATTATGCCTCACAACATAAAAATGAAATAAAAATCACAGTTTGTACTGTATTTTTCAACAAACAAATCTTACCCACCCCAAATATTTAAAGGGTGCTGCATTTTCAGGAAGAAGGGAAAACAGAACACTTGTGTGGTTTTCTATGCAGGCTGTTTTAATTATTCTTGCTGGCTTGTTATACAGGCACTATACAATTCATCAAAAGAAGATTGAAGTGTGCTGGCTCATTGCCAGTGGGTGTTTGGTGCCAGTAAGCCAAGACATTTTAAACACTTGACAGTGTCCAGAGGGAAGTTTCTGAGCTGATAACTCTTTAATGAATGGTTTGAAGCTTAAAATAAAATAAAAATTACGTGTACTTTTAGTTGAGGCCTGATCATTTAACAGACACTGTTTCTTTAGCTCGCTGCGATTGTGAGTTCATTTGAGTCAACAACTCGGCCTCTGATGAAAGACGAGTCTCACATCAATTACAGAGCTTTGCCAGTTCTCAGTGGGCTTGATCATTGAGTTTCAGGTTTCAGTTGAGTGGCTCCCAATCAAGCAGCCATTATCACATGCAATGGTGGCCATTTAACAGATTGCTAAAGATGAGTACAAGATTGATTTCTGCTGATCTTTTCTTTTCAATCATGAGTTTATTCCAGAGATTGATTTGGAGATGAGATTGCAGCCCATTTGTGTGTTTTCAGATTAAGGATTTCATATTAATCCCTTCAATTTTAATGAACAATTGCTGTACTGAGGGGAAGATTAGAGTTGTTTTAGACTCTAGTCTGTTGTCTGGAACTGGCATTTGTCTCTGATATGGCATGTTTTGATAATAGAGTGACTTTATTAAAAAAAAAATTCTGGGTCAGTATGGTTTTTATATTCATAAAGTTAAGTGCATTAAATTGACCTGAAGTGACACTATAGAGTTATTCATTATTATAGAAAATGTACATTTAAATACATGCTGTGCTTTATATTTCATCATAAACTCTTAAAAAAAACATCAGTCTTTGTTTTCATAAAAAAAAACAAAAAAAACAATCAGGTTTTAGCTGTGCGGACAAAAACGAATGTGTCTTGAGAGTCAAATTAATGCTCAAAGAGGTTTCAAAATGCGTCAGTACTTTCAGCTCTCTGTTGTTTTTCTTCAAGGTGGATCAAGTTCGAAGAGAAGGTGGAAAAAGGTGGAGAAAGATGGAGTAAACCACACGTGGCCACTCTGTCTTTGCACAGTCTCTTTGAGCTTAGGACGTGTATAGAGAAGGGCACCATCATGCTGGATCTAGAAGCCTCCACTCTGCCAGGGGTCGTTGGTGAGTTTTTCTTATGCAGCCTTTTTCAGCTTAAACAGGGGCCTTGTCAGTAAAACAGATGCTCTTCAACTAAATTCAACTGCTTTGGATGCTCTAATTTAGGACTGTAGGGTATTGTTAAAATTTAATATTGCAATTTTTTTGTTATTCTGCGATATATATATATAATTTATATTTATATTTATACAACAGTTCTGTCTGGTTCTTGAATCTCATTGGCTGATAGCCGTGATATATTTAAGTAATATCAGCACCCGTAAAGTCTCTTTACCCTTTGTGTTACTCCGCCCACGTACAGCCAGCAAAAAGCAGACACTGCAGATCTAAAGTTTAAAAGATGCTTGCTCTGCTGTTTAACAATCAGCTTATGATTTGAATTCAAGGCAGAAAAAAGTAGTTCCTCATACAAAAGGGTTTTTGAGACTCTCCATGTTTGATTTTGTTTTTGTAGACACAATTATGCCGTCAAACTGTTGTATAAACGCAATATCACACTCGTAGCAGTGTCATATGGCTGTATAACGGCATTGGTGGGGGCACTAAGGCACTCGGCCTGTGGCCTCGTGCCAATGCACGCCTCCCACCAGTGTCGATATACAGCCATATCGCACTGCTACGAGTGTGATATTGCTCATATATATTGCGATATGAATACAATTTTACCAGATGACTTAAATATCTCTATTTAGAAAAAGAATGAATCATTTTAGGTTGATTATGATGATTTTGTTTGGGGAGTATAAATAATACACAATAAATAAATAAACACAATAATAAAACATATATACAGTTGAAATAAAGTGAGTGTTTCATAAGTGAATAAATAAAGTGTTTTATAATTTTTCTCACAGTACAGAGCCTATTAAAAATTAAAATAATTTAATAAAATTAATCATTATTGTAGTTGCAAATGGTACAATTTCTCAAGCCTGAATGATTCAAATCATAATACAGTGACAGGCCTCAAAAACACATCCAAATTATACAGACTCAGCATTGCATATAACGCGATGTGACTATTCTGAATGATCACATTGAGATATTGATGCTGGAACGGTATATTGTGCAGCCCTATGCTAATTACACATTTAAAATCTCCTGAGACTCTGATACTCTGATCTGTTTTTGAGCAGAGGTATCTGATTTAAAAGCTAAACAACTAGTAAAATAATAATAATAATAATAATAATAATAATAAACTATTTAAAATAGAAAGCACATCGTGGTCTTACTTGTTTTAAATAAATATTTTTTTTTTTCTTTAACACAACATGCTTTAATGCAACAATGAAGTATCATGTATAGCAGTCTGTGTGCACACATGACAGTTTTAAACAAGCCTATTATTTTACATTAGATCGGATTATTATAGATTATTATATTATATCAATATTATATCTTTATATTACTAAACTATTTCTTAATTAAAATAAATTAAACAAACCATCAAATTCAAATGATTTAAATGATTTAAGTTTTGCTTGTTACTATGGAAATAGTAATATGAACTGAAATAAAAATATGATGAAATGTTATTAAACCTATGACTTAAAACAATTAGTAAACTAATAAAAATGACCAAAACAACAAAATGACAGAAGCTTTAATTGTTCAGTTCAATTACTATTGGATCAGATTAGTGTCCTGCCCAAAGTATCGTGGTTGAAGATCAAAAAATAATGTGTGTAAATCAAAAAATTAACATTGTGTGCAAAATTATGCGAAAACTAAACGATAACAATGAGGTCGCATGCTGCAAGACAAAAATTACACTTTAACACACTTTACTATAAGGTTTTAATACTTAATGTTAGTGAATGTATATAGTAACATGAACTAAGAAAGATCAATACTTGTACAGCATTTATGAATCATAGTTCAGCATTTACTAATGCCTTATTTAAATCCAAATTCAAGCTTATTAGCATTAGTTAACGCACTATGAGGTAATATAACAATAAACAACTTTATTTACATGAGCAAATACTTTAATAAATGTTTAGTTCATAATTTGTTAATTAACATTAACTAATTCAATCTATTGTGCTTTTTGGTGCAGAAAATAAAGCATTGCTCTTCAGTGTAACGATTGACGTCAGCATATTTGTCAAATATATAATGCTTTTTGCATTGGATTTATTTTTGTGCATTCTGAGAATCAGTCATCATTTTAGGAGCCAATTGTTCTGTCATGGAAGCATTCAGATTAGATTCATGTAGGGCATCAGCTCTGCCACCCTATATTTGTGGACAAAGGGCAGAAGAAAGATCATAAAGATAACATTTATAATCAGATCAGAATCGGAGAGAGAAACAAAATCCAAATGTACCGTAGGAGCTGAGAGCTAGCACGTGTGATAGCCATGCAGCGTCCCAGCCAGCACAACCCATCTATTTTCTTAGTTTCCAAATACTCACATGTCAGGATGTATTCATAGCTCTGTTTAATACAGTCCTCTCTCAGCCGCCGCTGTAACTCTGGGCTCAGATGCATGGGTGGATGCATCCATTCAGGATGGCCATTCCTTTTATACTGAAATCAGGCGTAGCGTGAGGAAACTGAGGTTGAACGTTGTGTCTGTTAAAAGGCTCCAGCAGTGCACTACAACAAAATATGTGATTTTGCTGATTACTCATAAGCCTTTCCATAGAGGAATGATTGAGAATAGAGTTTGGCTGTGTGAATTAAAGATAGCTGGTTAGAGATCATAACCACTGGCAGCCAATCAAGTGAGAGTTATTAATTCACATACTTGAGTCTTATATCCGTATCTCTTACTCAGAGCATGATGTGTCAAGTCCTATAATCAATTTGCAGTAAATCTTAAGTTAAGCTCACTCAACCTCATAGAGCGCCTTTTGAGCTAAAAATGAATTGAAGGACCGGCCATTAAGGGCCAAACCATTCATGAAAAGGGCCCGAGGGCATAGGCCTCATCTCTTTGACCCTCTTTTATAAAAATAGATGCTTACAGGAACCACCAGACAATCTTATGCCCAAGCCACTGCCTCATTAGACGTCCACTTCTAAAGACTAAGAATAGATCGCAATGTGTCGCTTCACTGACACCGACTTCAAGATCCTTTAGAGAGCTCATTGCCAAGTTGTTGTTAAAGTTTGAAGACCAGCATTGTTATATAAAGTTGATATTTGAATAAAAAAGCTTGCTCCCTTGGCTGTAATGAGATCCGTAGAAGTGAAACAAGCATGAGGCAGGTGTTTTTTTTTCTTTCCTGCTGTCTGCTTATCCCGCCTGCTTGTCGTTTTCTCTCTCTCTTTCAGAAATGATCACTGACAGTCAGATTGAGAGCGGCCTCTTGAAAGCTGACCTGAAAGAAAAGGTCATGTACACCTTGCTGAGGAAGCATCGCCACCAGACCAAGAAGTCCAATCTTCGCTCCTTAGCTGACATTGGCAAAACGGTCTCCAGTGCAAGTAGGCTGTTTTCCACCCCGGATAATGGTAATACAGGTGCCAGTTTGGTGCAGTTTTTATTTTGATTTTTTAGGCTTTTCTTGTTTCTTTTTCCTTCATCTTTTATGTGAAATCTGGAAATGTGGAGTGAAATTCTCTACACTTTTTAAAATACGATTATTAATTTGGTTAAAAATGCTATTGCTCTTTTGATTCTTGTATTTTGATTTTTTCAAAGATAACTGAGGTAAAATAAAACCAAATATTTGTATATTTGTATTTTATTGATCAAATTTTATTTGGGAAGAATTACATCACCTTTCAATAGATTTAATTCAGTTGGTAGTTTGCAAACTTGTTTCTAATAAATGTTACTAATTTACTGATTTATTAATGACTAAGAATTTAGACTGTATGTTATTCCTTTTTTAATAAATAATTGTGTCCACATGTTAAAGACTTCATGAAATCACTTTTTTCCCAAACCTTTTTATTTATTTTAACTAAAGTGAATACTTATATTCAGCAAGGTTTCATTTAATTGGTGACCAGTGACAGTAATGACGTATATTGTTGCATGAATTTGATTTCAAATATACTACTCTCTTGAACTTTCTGTTCATCAGATGTCCAGGATACATTTATGGACAGCTGTTTTTATAATAGTAGGAAATGTTTCTTAAGCAGCAAATTAGAATAATTTCTGAAGGATCATGTCACACTGCAGGCTGGAATATTGGCTGCTGAATATTCTGCTTTCCCAATTAATGAAAGACCATTTTCAAAATAAGTTAAAATGCAAAGCAATTGTTTTCACACTAGCATTTTACAAATTATAAGACTAAATAATTATAAATGACTAGGTGAAGCTATGTGCTTGAATTTGTCATCGCATCATAGGCTACATCATATGCAAAATGGTAAATTATTATTGTTTATTATTGTCAGTAGGCTATTTTAGTCATTTAAATCACAACCTACTATCTGATTGACAACATTGCATTATAATGTTACATCTCCCAAATGTGTATTTACTTACTTGTCAGTGCAAACTTGTTTAGCTTATCTTGTCCTAAGTGTAGCCTGCATCTGGTCTCGAACTAAAACAGCAGTAAAAAAATATAGATGATGACTAGACATAATAATTTCACAACTGTGACACTTCTTTGTTAACACAGTGGCAAAATTCAGTGAAATGTTTATTCTTCTAAGACGTTTCTTACCAGAATTTGTGCATGGGTAAGATTGATGTTATACTGTTATATATTACTGTTTTTTAACAGTTTGATCAAATAAATGCAGCTTTGCTGAGCATTAAAGAAATTCTTGCCAAAAATATCTCACAGACTTCAAACTCTGTTACCACTTGCTAGTTTGCTACACTGTAAAACCCAACAGTCAACTTTATTAAATGAAATGAGTGTCGTTAATTCAAAATTGATTGAAGTTAATTCTACTCATTTCAAAAGTGTTTTCAACTCCTCATTACTTCAACTTAAATGGGGTAAGTTCACAGTACTCATATAAATTAGTTTGTTAACTCAAATGGTTTGTAGCAATCGATTTCCTCAAACTGTTTGAGTTGTCAACTTATTGGCTTCATTTATCTGAATTTATTGTGCTCAAATTGCTCTGTTTACTCAAATGGATTCAGTTCACAGTACTCATTAGAATAAGTTTTGAAAAATAAATGGTTTGTTGCAATCGGTTTCCTCAAATGGTTTGAGTTAACTTAACTTTTTAGGTTTTACAGTGTACAGTCTTTATTGAATGTGTGAAATTCTCAATGTATAGAGCATTTGATTGGTCAAACATTTTTAGGAGAATACAAGCAAAGCAGTAGACATAGAGTGAACTCATGGAGTCTTTAAATAGTAACTTACTTACCAGTCTTTAATTTTTGTTTGGTCCGTTGTGTTTCTGTGTTCATTTTCAGTGATGCACACACACTATGCTGTTGCATTACATTGTTGAGAATGTGACCTTTTATGAACTGATCAGAGAACAGTGTTTATATGCATACAAGACAAGGTTGTTGTCAAGAGGATCAATTGATTTTATGGCAGATATTCATTCATGCCTTTAGTTAAAGGGATAGTTCATGATGGAGAGTAAATGATGGCAGAATTTTCTGTCTTTGGGTAAACTGTTCCTTTAAGAAGCTTAATAATTCATATAAACAGTCCCTTTTCACTTGTAAAATGTGTAATATTTCATCAATACTCTAATTTGATAAACAATGGACTACTTAAATATTCCATAATTATTATTCAATTGAACTTCTTACAGTATATTTAGTATACAAACCAGTTTTTATCAGTGTGTGAGATTTTACTCGTGTCACATATTTGAATACAAAGCTTGCTAAAAGCATTGATATGCCCTCTTGTCACCTTAACAGTCTTTCTCTTCACCCTTCTTACCTTCTTTTACCCTTTCTGCTGCACTCGTCACTAAAAGCACGTAATCCACTTGAGAGTTCAGTGCCTTGTCTAACGACTCGCACCTCAGAGGAGGTTTTGCGAGTCCCTGGAAGTCCAAGCATGGGATGGCCTAGTAAGTCCAACTTACCAGTTGCCAATGCATGTGTTGTGGCCTGCTGAGAAATCCAACACGAAGTCATGTTAGTTGTGTTAGTTATAATTAGGTATGGGCCGGTATAAGATTCTGACGATATGATAACCTTGGATAAAGATATCACAGTTTTGCGATATTGTGATTACTGCTCTAAAATGTATTATTTTTAAATGTCTGGGTAAAAAAAAAAGAACTTTTTTTCCCCTTTGAACACAATTTATGTGTTTTAAGACATTAAAAATATTTTGGAGCAGTAAACATGTTGGGCTGAATATTGAAAATGAATCCTTGACTTCGGCTGTCTTCAATTGTTTCAAAAACACTGATTTCTTAACAAATTAAAAAGGCATCTTTGGATATCTTTTCTGCTCGTGATACTGTTTTCCTAAAAACTAAAAAACGTAAATAAAAAATCTTACGCATACCTTAAAAATGGTATAGCTGAACGTTTTAAAACCTTGACTTCTCCAAACTGCGGTAAACCTTGAAAACGGTTATCAGCCCATGCCTAGTTGTAATTTCATGTTAGCACATTCATATAAAAACTGAGCAGATATTAGCCAGCACTCTCACTTCCTATTGTGAAGACCCGCAAACCAGCAGCCACCATCTCTTTTGGCTTCATGTATTCCAAACATTAGCTCATGTTGGTGAGCAGCAATCCTGGATCTTTCAGCAGGGTCGATTCTCATTCCATGCTGTGTGTAATGTAGTGGCGATAACATGGTCATTTTCAAAGGATAGTTCACCCAAAAAATGTGTTTACTCAAATATTTACAAACTTTTATAAATTTCTTGTTTTCTGATGAACAGCAGATATTTTGAAGTATGTTGGAAACTGGTAGCCATTAGCCATGTTTCCTTCTAAAAATGCTAATTAACTGGATCAAAACTGGATTGATGCATAAAAAGACGTGCGAAAAAAGCAGCGTTTCCATCCAAAGTCAAAGCGAACAAAATCGTTTGATTTACTGGCGCCAAATATCAACAGTAAAAATGGATTTTTTTGCGGTAGGAGAAGCTGCTTGAATATTTTCTTTATTTAATAAATGACTTGCACCTCAGAAGACGATGCAGACACGCAATGAATGCATCATGGGGTTTGAAGGCGTGAGACATAGAGCACAGATGCTCTGGACAGTTCTGGAGGTCATTCATAGCATTATAACACTAATACTGAAATGGTCAAAGCATTGTAGTATGACCAAAACAACATTTCAGATGTTTTACAGTGCGCTCAGCCTGCTGTTTTGTCCGTTGACACATATTTTTATCATCACATGATCTCTTATAACAAAATGACTTTTTTAATGCGCATACAGGAATTTGTTCGGTAAAAGTGTTTCAATCGTAGTTTATGCGCATCTTTTCTTATCGAATAAAAAGTTTATCCTACTCAGTTATGAGCATATGTTTTTTAATGCGCATTTTCAAAATGGATGCACATCTTGGTGTTTCCATCAATCAAATGTGAATATCTAAAATGCGCCTAAAATTGGTGGGTGGAAACATAGCTATTGACATACATAGTAGTAAAAAACATATACAAATATGATAATCAATGGCTTTCAGTTTTCAACATACCTCAAAATATCTGCTTATGTGTTCAACAGAAAAAAGAAACTTTATATATGTGTAAAGGCTGAGTAAATGATGCCAGAATTGTCTTTTTTTTTTTGGGTGAATTCTCTTAAAAAAAAAAAAAAAGAGTCATATCAGGATGAATATTTTAAGGTTTATGGATTCTTGAATAATTTAAACCTTGGTGAAAAATAAGAACAATTTGAATGTATGATATGACTCTTGACAGTTTAACCATGTTACTAAAGCTTTTGTTGTTGTTGTGACCATGTATGTGTAGTAATCCCCATAGTGAGTGTTGTGTAACAAATAGTCATATCTAGATTTTCCCATTATGTTGATCTTCAGCCCTAATAGATTTCAGTTCCAAAGTCTTCTAATAATCACACTGGACAGTTCCTGTAAAACTTTCCACTGGAGATCATCATATCATCATAACCATAACGTTTAATAATAAGCAGCCCTGATCAGATAATGTAGGATTTATGAAGGTGGATGTAAGATATATTTTTGTATATACACACACAGGCTAGTTTACTTTAGTTATAACTTTTAAGCCTCTTTTTTTTTTTTTTTTACTTTTTTGACAGCTTTTTTTTTTCTTTTAGCTGCGATTATTATTATTATTTTTTTTTGGCTGCATCAAACTGACATCTTTGTAACAAAACAATCCTTGTCAGTAATAGCCCTGATGGATTTTCTGTGTCATTGGGAACACTTTGCTTCGCTGTCCTGATCCTGTTCTCCTGCAAATGCTTTTTACAGCATGATGCCAATGATTTGGGTTCTGGAAGTAGGTTCCTTTCTTGCTTGACACATCGCTTTTTTCTAATTTGAATCATTTTAGTATAAAATGCATGGACTTTAGGAAATTAAGAGTTTTATAAAAAGTACTCATATTCTGTACAGTGTTGTCAGTCTCATTGGTTTCCAATTGGTTTTACTGTATCTATCATCTATCATGTTGGTTTTATCTATCATCTATCATGTGAGATGTTCTGGTTTTTCTGCATTTGGGTTATTTCTGTAAATGTGTATTTTCTTTTTTTAAATTTAGTAACCGGTGTTTATTTAATTTGTGGCTGTATCACTCAACCAATGTTTTCACAAATTTTGCTCAGGCAGCCCAACCACTGCACATCGCAACCTGACATCAAGCAGCCTGAACGATATCTCAGACAAGCCAGAGAAAGACCAGGTAAGTGTGTTTTCAAAATGTACTGTATACACATGCACCAAATGTGAAAAAAAAATTAGATTTATGTTTCAATTTTTAATGCTTTTACTTAGGAAAGATGTTTACCAAAAGGGCCAGTAAAGACATTTATAATGTTACAAAATAGTTAATTTTCAGATAAATGCTGTAAAGATTGTTTAGGTAATCTGGTACTTTTCATAAAATATATATATTTTTGTAAATTATAAAATATTGCACTAGCTTTCATAGTAATCAGAGTGTTCACAGGGTCCTAAAAAGTATTAAAAGTTGTTGAATCAATTACAAGTTTTTAAAAAAATCTTAATTACATTTTTACGAGGTCTTAACTTTTGTTCAAGCGTTGTCCAAAGTGTTTGGCTCCAAAAAAAGCATAAATATATTTATTTTTCTCCTAATATTAACAATTGCGTGCTCGATCCACATGATTGGTTCTGGCTGGGGCATGTCCAGCCAACCTCCTCCATCCGGGTGATGTCACATAATTTGCGACAAATGCGGAAAAGCTGTTGTGACGCTCTCCACAAGTAGCGAAACCATAGAGAAATTAGATGACAAAATGGGAAAATGTAAGTTATGCAATAGGCTAGTGGTTATCCATAACTCTCTCTCTCTCTCTCTCTCTCTCTCTCTCTCTCTCTCTCTCTCTCTCTCTCTCTCTCCAACTTCGTTTTCCTATCTCAGTACTGTTCTATCTAGATGTAGCTACACACATAAATCTTTAAAAAGTATCTTGTGCTCACTCTCTGTCCGACTGCCTGCGTTCCTGATTCAATGCGGAGACTAGGAGATTTAACATATCATAAATGACGAAAAACTGATCTCAAAGATCAAAACTAGTTTTAACCTGTCTATAACTTGGCAAATGACCATAGAATAAGCTCCAGTCCACTGTTTGTCAGGCAGTTCTCCACATTTAAAATCCTTTTGCCCATGACAATATGTTGATAATCCCTTACCTAATTCAGGGGCCAGTCGTTAAGATATTCTTTACATAATTTGTCAAAATATTAGTAATTAGAATTTAAAAACAAATAATTGCAGCCTAGGCGACACGGTGACTCAGTGGTTGCCTCACAGCAAGAAGGATGCTGGTTTGAATCCTGACTGGGTCAGTTGGCATTTCTGTGTGGAGCTTGCATGTTCTCTTCGTGTTCGTGTGGGTTTCCTCCAGGTGGTCTGGTCCCACCCCCCCTCCCCCCCCCACACACACACACAAAGGGGTGGTATAAAGACATGTGGCATAGGTGAATTGAATAAACTAAATTGACCACAGTGTGTCTGTGCGAATGTGAATGGGTGTTTCCCAGAACATGATTGCAGCTAGAAGGGTATCCGCTGCGTAAAAATATGCAGAAATAGTTGTTGGTTCGTTCCACTGTGGCAACCCCTGATAAATAAGGTACTAAGCATAAGGAAATTAATAATTGCAGCCTTGGGGGAGAAGAACAACATGCTTCTTAGTATTTAAACAACAATAATATCAACATTGAAAAGCAGCACCATATACTGTATAAGTTATAGATTTTTTGTTTAATATACATAAATATACAAAGTTTTAATTAGTTTTTTTGCGCAAAATGAAATATAAAATAAATCATAAATATTTATTTGTTTATTTGGCAGGGACAGTGTACAATAATTAGCATTGCTGCAAATGCACCAGAATTAGACAGAAGGCTATTTTGATGCATATCTGATGATGAAACTGATGATAAAACTGTCCCCCTAACAAAAAATACAAAAGTATCATAATCAATCAAAGATAACAAAAAAAACTAAAAACACCAAGATTATGTAATTGAGATGAGAGTAGTTAAAACATAATTATATATGTAATATGGTGGCACAGTAATATAGTATAATTATGAAATACTGTTGAATAAAAACATGAATAAAGCACTGTTGACATCCAGGCTGTTAGAGAGAATAAAATCGACACCTTCTTGGAAACTAGCTTGATATACGAATAATAAAAATGAATGTTTATGCAAGCAGGAAAACCCCACAGCTTTCTTCTCCCACTTAGTAAATAAGTTGCTCAACAGAGTATCAGACAACACACTCAATAAGAAACTGTTATGCTATCTTGTGCTTTGAAGCAGGTGCTTAATGTTTGGGAAACAACATGTAAGATAGTTTAAGAAGGTAATTCTAGATTACTAAATAATATTTAAGAATTGACCTTAAATTATTAAAACAAAATGTGTGAGATGAGTTCAGTCCACTAGTTTGTCTAGGAATCTCGTCTAATCCTTCTTTTTGACACAAGAAGGTAAATGTGTTTCCATTGTAGTTAATGCTGGTATACAGTTGAAGTCAGAATTATTAGTCCTCCTTTGAATTTGTTTCTAGTTAACCTAGTTAAACCTTTAAATGTCACTTTAAGCTGTAAAGAATTGTCTAGAAAAATATCTTGTCAAATATTATTTTCTGTCATCATGGCAAAGATAAAACAAATCACTCTTTCAACTATTAAGTTCAAAATGTGCTGAATTTTTTTTCTCTCTGTTAAATAGAAATTAGGGAAAAACAAACAGGGGGTGAATAATTCAGGGGGGCTAATAAGTTCTTTTAAGTCCTCAGTAAAGCAGGCTAGGCAGAATAGCAATATTTACCAATGTTTTGTTTTCAAACTAAATAAAAATCTACATTTTCGATGCTGTAAAGGGTCCCTTATGAAACTGAAAATAGTCACATCAATCTTTCGCCGGGAGATTTCAGTGGCTGAACAACGCTTCTGTGGAAATAACCCATAAATAACAACAAAATCTACATCAGCTTTGCTTGACTAAAATAGTTTTAAAACATAACGTTACACGTCAAAAAGGAATATTTCAGCCATGGTGTCGTCCTTTTTCCAGCGTGCAAAAGTAACTCCAATATTGGTTCAGGATTTTAAAAAGTTTAGATTGAGCATTTGTTTTTACCACTCTCATCTCTCTCATGTGCACATGTCATGAATGCGGCACACATGCACACGCAAATGGCAGATCTGCTTAGATGCGCAGATGTAAAAATCTACGTTTTAATTGTCAGCCCAACAATATTTAATTGGATGAAAATTTTTTAGTCTTATGCCTTACCCAGAACATAAAAATACATGTAAATACATTTAGATAATTTACTTTAATCATTATTATTAGAATTTGAAGAGGCTTTTAACCAGCACAACACAAATGCTTCTGAAGACAATCACCTACTGCACCTTTAAGTGTTTGTGAACTGTTAAATACAGTAAAGACTTTAAAATTAATGGTGATTTAAAAAGTTATTGAAAATCCTTCAATCTGCTGTTTATGAAAGAGCAGAGACCCTGTGATGTACTCCCCTATAAAATAATCCCAATCAAAATAAATTATGAATTTTTACCAAACAGATCTATTCAAATCGTCTGGTGAAATGTTATTCACACCAGAATATACAGTATATTGAAGAAGAACAAAATATCGCTATAATTTTTTTTTTGTGCAGCCCTAATATGTCTTGACACTGTCTGTGTTTGTGTAAAATATTTGTATTGTATTCCAAGAAATAAAATGGGACACTACAAGGTGTTATGTGCACAGCAGTGGAGTGTGTAACACAAAGACAGAGATGGTGAGAATTGCAGACATTTCTAGTCCTAATGGGAAGTTGTACTCTCACTGAGGGAGCAGCAGGAGGTCATGAAGCTGGTGTCAATCTGTGACAAACCATAAAAATTAACTCGTTTCACAGAAGTTAACCTCAGAGGAATTGTCCGATCTGTCCTAATTACGTGAGAAATCATCCCTTCCTTTCTTGCTGAGCACAGCAAAATGGGAAAGAGCTAGCAAATTTTTGACAATGTGTCTGTGCTGCTCTGCGCAGAAAACAGCAGTGTTTATGTGATTAGTGGAGGGCATCAGCTGTTCACTGACACTGGGGTGATGCCCCTTGCCCTCTGTTTTTGGCACTGATGGGGATTGAGACTGTTGAAGTGTGAGGTGGCCCAGAGACATGGACAGTTTGGGACAGAGTAAGTGTAGATTGAAGGGTGGCTCAGCTTTGTGTGAAAGTCTCATGGCTTGTCACACATACACACACACACACACACACACACACACACACACACACATATATATATATATATATATATATATATATATAAGCATTTTTTTTTTTTTTTTTTTTTTTGTGACGTAATTCTTGCTGTCTGAGATTCAACATTAACAGAATCTGGAAATTAATGGAAAGCTGAGGAACATGAATGAGTATCTCTAAGTGATTTGATATGGTGGCTTAGACTTATTATCCCTTTTGTTTAATTAATATTTTTATATTATAAATTACTATTTTAAATGGAGCAAACTGAATATCCATTTCATGATTTTTTTTTTAAAGCCCCAAGGGTTCTTTCTGTAATGTAGGGCAAGAGCACCCTGATTTATTCTTCTGAGAGAGCGCCCCCTTCAGGCAGTTGAGTAAATATATTAGAGTTTTTTCCAACCCTTGTGATGTGATGGTTCTATTTGGATTCTTTGTTGGCTACAATACAGTAACATAAACTACTGTATGTAAAACTACATGATGCATTAGTAGACTTTAATGCCTAATATATGCTAACGCTTTTTTGATGGCCCAGCAGACATTTTATACAAATACATTTCTAAATATGTCAACTTATTCAGCTAACAGTCTAATAATACTTGGCTGATTCTGAGAGCAATTGACACGTAATTGCTAGTCATCTGATACATGGCTTGAATACAGAATGTGGATTGTATTGATGCACCAGTGTAATAACGCTCTGCTTGTTCTAGCAGTGGAAGTTATCCAGAGATGAAACTGTTCTAAGCTATACCTGTCAGGGACTTTATTAGAGGTGGATTTTTTGTTGTTGTTGAATGGGTTGTTTCATGCTAGGAAACTCTAAACACATGAAATGCATAAAAATAATGAAATAATTGCATCAATGGAATATGCCGACCCTTCTGTGACTTGGTTTGTGATAAACACTGATGTAAGGCTAAGGAAAAACACTACGGGTTGCTTAAGGTGTGTCCTTATAATACCTTAATCATCCCTTTACCCTCTTCTGGTAATGCTGTCTGCAGTCTGCTCTCTGAGTAGTAACATCACTCCTCCCCGTTTATGGCTATCACTTCCTCACTTGTTTTTGTTTCATTCATGGCTAAGATAATCTTTGTCTCTCTGTGGTACTTTTTGTTGTTTTAACTCCAAGATTATTAAGAATTCATTGAGCTTTTGAAAGGTTTTTTCCATTAAGGAGGGAACATGACATTGGGCTGACATATTTGTCTCAACCTTCTCTTTTTAAAATGAAAGATAGCTGAGGAAACTTAAAAATCTAATCACCAAAAAAGTCATAATTTACAAAAAATGTATTAAAGCTTTATCACTGTGTACCATGTTCACTGTTGTGAAGTATTCTGATATCTTTGTGATGAACAAACCACATTAAGAAGATATTATTTAAAAAATATGGTTTTATTAACTCTAAAGAAAAACAAACATGACAGGTTTTATCTCGTTATTATTATTTATTAGTGATCAGCTATAAGAAGCTGAAACAGCAGATGAGATTCAAAAATATTGAAATGTGTGACCTTGGATCCCAAAACCTGTTTTTGTAGTCTTTTCTTCAGTCTATAACAGTTTTATTTGTAGGACTAGTCAGAAATATAGTGTATTTGACTTTTTTTTCGTTTATGATTTAAAATATTAAAACTACTGTTCTGGTTATCTTTAATCAGTCAGGGGTGGAGGGGCTTCTGTCAGATCCCCTGCTGCTTCACAAAGGGGTCCCACAAGGTAGCATATTGGGGCCTATACACCTTTTAACATTTATGTTCACGACAGGTGATTCTTACACAATCTATATGCTGATGATACCATTATTTATATCTATTTATACTATTATTTATATCTAGTTCTTCTCTGACTACAGCACTTTCTTCTCTGCAAGCCAGTTTTTACAACATCCGACGCACTTTTACCAATCTTCATTTAGTTTTAAATACTAATAAAACAAAATGTATAGTTTTTAACAGAAATTTACTACATGCTGAGTTTACTCCTAAAATGTCCTCATTGGACAGTACTGAGATGGATTATGTTGACTTGTTACAAACATCTTGGAATCTGGTTTGAAAACTTTGAAAACTCCCCTTCAAAAACTGGATATTATTTACCATGCAGCAATTTGTTTTGGTACTGGTGCAGCAGACCTTAAAGCTCAACACTTTTATTCTAGTATCATCCTTTAAAAATTCAATCCAGTTAATAGGACAAGATCACTGTGCTTGTTTTTAGTTTTTCCTTGGTTTTATACGTTATCCCTGCATCTGTAAAATTGTTATTGTATTGTGTGCCTGCTGCTTCGTATCTGCTTTTTATGTTGCTTCTTGGCCAGGTCATCATTGTTAATGAGAATTGGTTCTCAATTGACTTACCTGGTTAAATAAAAGTTATAATATTAAAATTTTAGATAAAGATCACATTCTGATAATAATTTGTGTAAGTGTCTTACTGTAAATATATTTGAAGTCAGATTTATTAGCCCCCTTTTGAATTATTTTTTATTTTTTAAATATTTCCTAAATAATGTTTAACAGCAAGAAATTTTTCACAGTATTTCTGATAATATTTTTTCTTCTGAATAAAGATATTTTGGCTTGAAAAAAAGCAGTATTTATTTTTTAAAGCCATTTTAAGGTCAAAATTATTAGCCCCTTTAAGCTGTTTTTTCCCCTGTCTACAGAACAAATCATTGTTGTACAATAACTGGCTTAATTACCCTATCCTTAGTTAGCCTCATTAACCTAGTTAAGCCTTTAAATTTCACTTTAAGCTGTATAGAAGTGTCTTGAAACATATCTAGTAAAATATTATTTACTCTCATCATGGCAAAGAGAAAATAAATCAGTTATTAGAGATTAGTTATTAAAACTATTATGTTTGGAAATGTGCTGAAAAAATCTTCTCTCCATTAAACAGTAATTGGGGGAAAAATAAACAGGGGGGATAATAATTCTGACTTCAACTGTAAATCAAAACTATATATTGTCCTTATATAAAATATTGTCCATAGCGTTTAGACCTATATATGACATTAGTGACTAATTTAGTGGTTCAGGCGCATTCACATATAAACCCTGCAAACCCTTCTAACTGTGCTGTCTGTGCATAAATGTTTTTAAAATGTATAGGTTTCTAAAAGGCATCCTCAAGACTTTCCAGGAATATGTAAAACGTTTCAAAGTTAACCAAAGCATGCCATGCTTATAAAACCAGTATTTGCTTTAAAGCCTGACACAAGGTCATCCCATCAAATGCAGACGATAATACATCAGAATATGCATCATTTGTTTGACAACTATAATGCAATGATCATCAGTGTTAGGATGGTTGTGCTATGATAAAGTCTAATAAAAAGCCTTTGAAAATAGATGATCTCTGATTTGTCCCATAATGCTCTCAGGTTCTTCAGGTTAAATGTTTTCCATTGTGTCACTGAAAGGTGCTCTTTTGTCAATGGGTAACTAAACTGCTCACTTTGCTGTTAAATAGACATTCAGGTGAGAATGTTATTGTTTATGTACTGGTGGAATTACTGGGTCTCTGGTTTATTAATTGATTGACATTGTAACCCCATGTTCAGGTTAATCAGCAGAGCTGTCAAATCTGATTCATGAGCTTCACAAATGACATGTCTAGGATTTCTGGATTGCTAGTCTGTTAAAGGAATATTGAGCATTTGCACTATTGTTATTTATAAATATATAAAAGTACATTATATTCATAATATGTTTGAGCCATTGCACGTTTTAATAACTAAAAGTGTCATTTCACAAGGAATGACCTTGGAGGCACCAGTTGAAATAAATGGTTATGTGAGCACTGAGTACTAATTATCTCTGGCTTGTAAATTTCACATTTGGCACGACCTCAGAGACCGAGCTGGAAGATGCCACTGCCTTTGAAGTTGGCCTTCACTTTATCATTGGTAGGAACAAAAACAACCCGTATAAATAAAACAAATGAACTGATCTTTATACTGGTTACTACTGGTTTCCCTGAGTTAAAAGCAAAAGAATGCAGGAGTCGCAGTAGGCCTTCGCTGAACCACAGAATAAACCATCCCACGTACGTCCACCAATCTTTGTAATTTTCATTACATGGACAGTTGCGGCTGTTAGAATGTCTTGGCATGAAAAGCCAGCAGGGCAATTTCTTTTAATGAGGTCATGTGTTGGGGTTTGATTTGTTTTTATCTGTTGCTTCATTAAAATACCATCCTATAATTTTTTTTTGCCACCCAGCTGAAGAACAAGTTCATGAAGAAGCTGCCCAGAGATGCCGAAGCCTCCAATGTTCTGGTTGGAGAAGTGGACTTTCTAGACAGTCCGTTTGTGGCCTTTGTGAGACTTCAGCAGGCTGTGATGTTGGGGGCGCTGACTGAAGTGCCTGTGCCCACAAGGTACAGTCTCTTTCCACAAGGCTGAGCAAGAATGCAACAATTGTGGTGTAGGGATGTTCAGTTCAGAGGCTTTTATTTAACAAATGTAAAAAAAGTAAAATAAATAATATATAATAATATTTTGTTATCGCTTTTACCAGATTTCTGTTCATTCTTCTTGGACCCAAAGGCAAAGCCAAGTCATACCATGAAATCGGTAGAGCAATTGCCACCCTGATGTCGGATGAGGTATATGCACAGCCACTTTTCATTTTAAGGTTTTGATTTCATTCACACGGCAGCAGAAATCAGTTACTAAATGTTTTAGAAGGCTGATGTTTATTTCATAATTACAGTATACATTGAGCACTTTGTTAAAAAAAACAAGAATGGAAATGTATCCAAATTAGCTGAAAGGCTAGCTTTGGTCTGTAATGCCATTTGTTATTTAAGGGATAACGTATCCAAGCAGTTGTTATTATAGAATAAAGCAAACAGGCTAAACATGAAGCGGAAGGATGCGGTGAAGGCTACTATAGCAACTGGGTGAATCTACGTTATCCCTCTCATAACATATATACTCGCAACAAAGTGTAAAAACTAGAAACAAAATATTGTTTTGAGCTGTAATGCTGCATACATCACCCTATGTACTTTTCAGTGTTGTTATATTATTTATTAAGCATATAAGTAAGGATGTGAACACATTCACTGACAGGCAAGATTATTCAAAGTTCCTTGATGAGCCTGTGTTATTTGTTTCAGCGATCATTATCTGGGAAGAACATACTTTTGGATGGTCTTTATCCTTGCGCAGTTGGACTTTAACTGTTTTCTCGCTAGAGAAGCGCTCAGTTTTTTCACTTACAAAGTCTGACATGTAAATAGCTAATGTGGCACAGCGTGATGCAGCTAAATCTAAAAGGGACTGGGAGGAGTGACTGATTGGTTTAACCTCCTTAAAACATTACATTCAGATGCACAATAAATAGGTTCTTTTTTTTAATTAAAGAATGAAAATATACAACCACAATTAGGAGATCAATATAAGAGAGATACAAAAGAGGAAAAATACAAACTACATTAGCTGTAGAAAGAAAAAAAGACTAACAAAACAAAGAAAGGGGTAAGTAAATTACAATTGTGTGAAAGTAAATAAATTAAGAGCATTAGAAAAGCTATCTAACGCAAATCTGAGTCAATAGACAACAGTTCTTCATGTATAACCAGGAATCTGACACATTTTTTGTTGTTACACATACGGAAAGACTTGAGCAGTGAGTCAACTTCAGTCAGAAAATGTTGAAAAGTAGGGACTGAAGCCATGCATTTTTGCTTATGTATAAAAAAATTTCCAAACAAGATAAAAAAGCTGAAGATAAATTCTTTAGATAATAAATAGGATCTTATTAAAATATTACTTTGCGTAATGATGTCGTTGCGCAACTCAAAACTACATCTTTATGTAGAATACAAAATAATGAATGTTTTCTCAAATTGACTGGCCATTTCACCAAAAACATTATTTGAAATATCCATTTAGAATTGTATGAAAAATAGAGTTGACTATTTATAAAAGTAATGCAAACACTTTTTGATATGATATTTTTATTTTTAAATATAACACTGATAAAGAACAGTTACATTCTTTTTAAAAATCAGATTGTGTACTTACTCTTTTTAACTTGTGAAAGTAACACATTTGTAAAAGTGACAATCATTATAGCACTATTGGAATTATTCTTTGCTACCTAAATTACCCTCAATTATACATGTTAACAAATATCAGTAAATAAACAGTTATGAAAAACAATTTGAGCTAGCGATTTACTCTACTGAGTGAAGCCTGCAGCCACTGCTGTTTAGAGTCACTTTTTAAAAATTGCTAAAAGTGGCTAAACAAATGTTAAAAGTTGCTAAATTTGTTGCTAGGTGCTTTTTGAAAAAAAAAAAAGTTGCAAGCGTAGCATGAAAAGTTGCTAAATCTAGCAACAAAATTGCAAAGTTGGCAACACTGCTCGTCAGACGATGGTTGATATGAGAAAGAGTCTTAGAAAGAAAATGTTTCTGCAGCATCATTTGATAAGGAATTTCTAATACTGCATTTGCACCACAGCATGTTTAGGTGGGATTGTCGTCATTGGTGAGTCATGATGCAAGTCAATGGTAATCATCGTTATGGGAGATGAGCAAGCATCAGGAAATGCTAAATTAATACCTGTGACTCCTATTGATGCATTGAGTTTTTATTAAATACCACCTGTGACATCTGGTTTGTAATTGAATCACTCTTTTGAACAGATTTGTTTCCAGCAAAGACTAGTTTATTTTCTTTATTTAAATCAATTTATTTGATTTTAGATGTGCAAAACTACCCATTTCATATCACTTCATACATTAACTGATGAATTAGTTATTTAGGCAAACTGTTGTCGTTCCTGATTGTACTCTGTGTGTGTGTGTATTCTTTTAAAAAAAGGATTGTGCTTTTATGGTCATGTGAGTTAGCCAGTAATCACAGTTCTCTCATCAAGGTCTTCCATGAAATTGCGTATAAAGCCAAGGACAGACAAGATCTCCTCGCTGGCATTGATGAGTTCTTGGATGAGGTCATCGTCCTTCCTCCCGGAGAATGGGACCCTGCCATCAGGATAGAGCCTCCAAAATCCCTGCCATCCTCAGATAAGAGGTAGTTATTATGTATCTTTTTATGAGTAGCCAAAACATGGATAGTTCAACCAAAAATTAAATGCTGTCATCATTTACTCTCCCTTCATTTGTTCAAACCTGTTTGACTTTCTTTCCTCTGTTAAACACAAAAATAGATATTCTGAAGAAAGCCAAAAACGTGTAACCATTTACTTCTACACTATTTGTTCTAACAATTTTATTTTTCCACTATAGAAGTAAATGGTTACAGATTTTCAGCTTTTTTCAAAACATCTTCTTTTGTATTCGTCAGAAGAAATAAACTCATCAAGCTTTGAAACCACTTTAGGGTAAACAGAGTAAATGTTCATTGTTTGAAGTGAACTATCCCTTTAAGACTTAAGCAGTAATATAGTAAGATATAGTAAGAAATAGTTTCAAAGGTCACCTGGCCAGGTCATTCATTCATTCATTCATTCATTCATTCATTCATTCATTCATTCATTCATTCATTCATTCATTATGGAGGACCAAAGCAGCAAATTAATTAGATGAAGTGCGTCATCTCTCTTTGGCTTGAGGTGAAATGACAGCAGGCTGCAACCACTTACTGCCACCTCAATCTGTAGCAGCATACAGTACAGCTGCCCACAGCCCACACTCACACCAGCATAACACACAGTGTACACAACACAACACAACACACACAGACACGCAGTCAGGGGCTGTTGAGTGTAAACAACAGTGCATATTCTTCATTTATTATCTATCTAGCTGTCTATCTATCTGTTTATCTGTCTCTCTGTCAGTCATTCTGTCTGTGGTCTGTTGTTCTGTTGCTGTTTTGCTCCATATATTGTTCTATCATTCTGTCTGTCTGTTTTGATCTACAGTGATCTCGCTGTGAAATAGCCATACGTTGCTGGTGTGGCAATTAATAAGCAAACTTTCAATCTTTTGTCTTACTGTCTCTATCTGTCTTTCTATTTGCATATCTGTCTCTCTCTCTCTGTCTTTATATCGCTCTTCATCTCAGTCTATCATCCTATCACTGTCTGTCTTTTTGTTTTTGCTGTCTGTACAGTATGTCAGTCTTTTTTTTCTGTCCATCAGTCTGTCTTTACATCTGTTGCTGTTTTGCTCTATCTATAATTCTATCATTCTGTCATTCTGTCTGTTTGTCTGTCTGTCTGTCTGTTTGTCTGTTTGTCTGTCTGTCTGTCTGTCTGTCTGTCTGTCTGTCTGTCTTTCTTTGTCTATCAGTGACTGTAGTCTGTCTTTACATCTGTTGCTCATTCTATCATCTAATGGCATAATTTTTTTTCATTCTGTCTTTCGGTTTTTCTCTGTATTATTGTCTGTGTATGTGTCTTTCTTTCCATCTGTTTATCTGTCTGCCTATGTCTATAATTCTATCACTGTCTTTCTGTTTTTGTCTTTCTGTCAATTCAGTTCATTTCACCTGTATTTGTATAGCGCTTTTACAATGTGGATTGTGTCAAATCTGCTTCACATAGAATACTATAGTGAATTGAAACAGTGTCAGTCCAGTTTTCAGACTTTAAGTTTAGTTCAGTTCAGGTCAGTGTGATTTAATATTCACTGCTAAGAGTCTAAACACTGAAGAGTAATCCATCGATGCACAGTCCCGAACCATGCAAGCCAGTGGCGACGGTGGCGAGAAAAAAAATTTGGCGTGTGTGTGTGTGTGTGGATGTGTGTGTGCGTGTAAAGGTAACTTGGTGGACAGGTCAGAGTAAATACATAAGGAACAGTAACAGTCAATAAATGAAGCAGATATAAGTAAAACAGATAGAAACCAGTCAGAGGTAGGGAGTAACAACAATGCTTAGTAATGTATGATAGTAATAATGACAGTAAAAAGAAAGAAAGGACAACAGTAATAACTGACAAAGATAATAAATCACAAGTACTACACCAACTATTACTACAGAAAGTTACTTATATTACAACTACTACTGCTGGTACTACAGCCAGAACCACGACTATTACTACTGTAATGTCTACTAATACTGATACTACTACAACAATGACTACCACTACTGATACTACTACAGCGTCTGCTACAACTTTTTAGTGTTTCTTTGTACTTTACCATTGTTTTAAGGGGTTTTACGGTAAATAATGTAATCTTAGCAAAATGAAAATGTAAAAAGTACTAGTACCAGTACATTAACAGTATTTAACTGTTAATTTAACTGTCATGTCATGTTTTATAATTTAGAGTTTTTTTTACCTTCGCTCTTTTGCGTTATTTTACCGTGAAAACTAAGGGTATTTTTTACTGTAACAAACCAGTGGGAAACTTATTTCGTTCAGCTTTCAAGTATATGTAATGTATAAATCTCACAACTGACTATTTTGAATGGTTTTGTGGTCAATTGTTACATATTATCAACTCTATACTGTATTTTATTCCACACAGTATTACATTTGTGAGGACTTCCAGTCTATGAGCTTATTTTGTTAACTTAACTTAATTCTGAGGACTTTTAGGCTTGAAAACAATCCACTGAGTGTGTCTTTTGTCATCTTTTCCCCCTGTTCTCTCTTTAATAAGATAACTTGGCCGTTTAATAACATTAGGTGTCTGGATTTGTTTGTTATGCTGTCCAGAAAGAACATGTATGCTGGAGGGGACAGCACACAGATGAATGGAGACACTCCTCACAGCGGTGGGCACGGCGGCGGGGGACACGCAGTGGGTGACGAGCTGAAGAAGACGGGGAAGTGAGTTAATGTTTGTGTAAATTCTTCTGAAGGAACAGATTATGCTCAGCCTACGAACACAGTGGTTTCATTCAGATAAAGGTTTATTTGACCCCTTTCAGAATGACTATAATTATCTTAATATTAGACAAACAATGAAATCAGCAAGAGCCCTGTTTACCGAGTACAGCCTGTTATCTTGAATCTTCAAGTACAGTTCACCATCGGTGTTGAATGCCTTGACCTTTAGTAAAGAACTGCCTGATGCTATTTAGTGTTGCTTTTGCATTTTTTTTAATCCACATTACCAATTAATAAAACCAATAAAAAAACATGAACACGTTTAAACAACGAGAACAAAAGGGTAAGACCACTAATGAAATATTTGTATTGTGCATTATTCTGATTTAATTGTGATTTTTCATTGAATTGCTAATTGAGTTGTCAGTTTTACAATTTTATTAAAAAAGTATTGTTATTGAATTTATTAATAATTGTAAATATGTTTATTTAAACAATAAATACATATTTATCATAATATAAATAGTTATTTCTTATTAATTAATAATAATAATAATTCATAAATTATAATAAATAAATTATAATAAAATAAATACATAAAAAATAATAATAAGTATTATTATTATTACCATTAATTATTTAAAATAATAATAATAATAATAATAATAATACCAATAATACTGATAAAAATAATAATAATAACAATAATAATAATAATAATAATAATAACAATAAATAATAATAATAATTAAAAATAATATTTATCATTATTATTAATTCTATTTATTATTATTATTATTATTATTATTATTAATTTATTTATTATTATTGTTATTAGTATTTATTATTAGTATTATTAATTATTGATGTTTATTTATTTATTTATTTATTTATTTATTAAATTAGAATGGAATCCAGATTTTCTGTGTTTTTGAACTCAACTGTACAGAGTAAATATACATCTTTGGATATAGGAAAACAGATTAAGATAAGACATGTTGAAAGCTAAAATTAAATGATTTAATTGATACACTTTGTATTTTATTCATCAGGTTTTGTGGAGGCCTTATTCTTGACGTCAAAAGAAAAGTCCCTTTTTTCTTCAGTGATTTCTACGATTCACTACACATCCAGTCTTTGTCTGCCATTCTTTTCATCTATCTGGGAACAGTAACCAATGCCATCACGTTTGGAGGACTGCTGGGCGACGCCACAGAAAACATGCAGGTGAACTCAGCCTAAAATCAAAAGAAACTGTGCACGTATATGAAATACACCATATGCCGTCTGTGTCCGAGACTTTCTAAATAAGATTCAGTCAAATGTCACCAGGGATTACAATGTAATTCAATCTTGGTCAATCTTTAACTGACGCACACTGGGAGCACCTTCTTCTCTGCCCTCCTTTTGAAAGGTTACCTCGAGTTCAAAGGTCATTTTAGTAAGTTAAAGTATCATAGATCATATATTTAGCTGTCTTAAAGATGAATGCTGAGGTCGCCGTTGGCTAGTCAATGTTTTAGCTCAAGGAATCCTTGCAGTATTTGCCAGCAAGCAAAGTTGTGCTTGTAAAGGTTTATTCACTTAATAATGTTTAGACACTCAACTCATTGGATGAACTCAATTTAATTGAGAGCAGGATTTCCATCCAATAAATTTGTTTAGCATCTACTAAAAAAATATATTTACACACTTAAATGCAACCTAGTTGGTCTAACATGATTTTATTAAATACAAGTTTAAATACATTTCTATTTGTATTTAACTTAAACTGAAAGGCCTGACAATATCATGTACAGTTGAAGTCAGAATTATTATCCACCCTTTGATTTTTCCCCCCCCTTTTTTAAAATATTTCCCAAATGATGTTTAACAAAGCAAGAACATTTTCACAGTATGTCTGATTATATTTTTTCTTTTAGAGAAAGTCTGATTTATTTTGGCTAGAATTCAAGCAGTTTTTAATTTTTTAAAAACAATTTTAAGGTCAAAAATATTAGCCTCTTTAAGCTATATGTTATTTTCAATAGTCTACAGAACAAACCGTCATTATACAATAGCTTGCCTAATTACCATAACCTGCCTATTTAACCTAATTAACCTAGTTAAACCTTTAAATGTCACTTTAAGCTGTATAGAAGTGTCTTAAAATATCTTGTCAAATATTATGTACTGTCATCATTGCAAAGATAAAATAAATCAGTTATTAGAAATGAGTTATTAAAAATATTATGCTTAGAAATGTGTTGAAAAAAAATCTTCTCTCCATTAAACAGAAATTGCCCAAAAACTAAAAAGGGGGCTAATAATTCAGGGGGCTAATAAATCTGACTTCAACTGTATGTCTATGATGTTTCGTACATTTCGAAGTCTCTTTTAGTTTAGTTATGTTTTTAGTCTTAGTTTTATTTGAAATTATAACAAACTAAGAGAGCAATTTTAAGAATATTTTATGAGTTACGTATACTGTTGATTGAGACTGATCTCAGAACTAATTTTAGACAGTTTTGCTCACTGAGCAAAGCAACAAACTGCATTATTGCTAATTAAGCCACCAACATCCAAATCATGTGTGCTTCTGCAAGTTGCTAATCTCAAAGCATTACTTGAAAAACTTCTAAATCTTAAAAAGTGAAGATTAAACTTTTAACAAGTCCTTCTTTTACTTTAAACAGCTAAGATTACTTTTATTATCAACATTTCCCTCTCTTTATTCAATGGCACGCAAAGCAGGCTGGGAACTACAAATCCCCTAACCCGGTAGTTGGACCAACACAATTCCTTCATGTTGTCCCAACACACAATGCTTAAGTTAACTTAATAGTTAGCAAATTTAAGTGGACAGAACATAAAACAAATAAATTGGCCAAAGAAATTATTTGTGTTGTTTGAGCTCATTTTAAATAAGTACTTTGAACAAGCAACAGTAATTATTTTTTGAGTGTACATTTATATTTCAAATTAGAAGTAAAAAAGAGATGAATACTCAACCTCAAGTGGTTTCAAACTTTATGAGTTTCTTGTAATAACCCAAAGGATGATATTTTACAGAAATTTTTAATTTGGTAACCATCGACTTCTATAGTAAACAAATGCTATGACAGTCAATGCTTACTGGTTTCCAAGACTACTCAAAATATCTTCTTTTGTGTTCACTTATCACAAACCTGTTTGAATATCTTTTGTCTGCACAAGGGTGAATAAATGATGACAGAATTTTCAGTTTTGGGTGAACTATTCTTTGAGAATAGCGACTAATTAACAGGTTGTGAAAACTAGTCAACTGTTGTTTGTTATTTTACTCAACAAAAGGTCTAAATGTCTAATGAAAGTGTTCCAGGCAGAACAACAAGATAATTAGCTTTAGTCACGGTATTTGGCGAAGGTCAAAAGACAGATGAAGAGGTAATTTTACACCTCAATTACAGCCATTCCTCTCTGGACTGGATTATATTTCCCAGAGTGGGTCTGAGTTAGTCATAAACAGGCCCTTTTTACTCAAATTGTGTGAGAAATGCACAGACACTGGGTTATTTGATTTAAAAAGGATGTAAATTGCTTGTTGATTTTTATAAATGTTGGTTGTTGTTTTTTATAAATATTATTTGCTCTTAGAGTCTGGCAAATATCATTACGATTTCAGTGAATATTGAGATTTCAAAATCTATTTAGGGCAGGGTTAGTTTCTACTTGCGTAGAATCGCTTATTTAAAATACGCAACGTCTTGTGATCTAAAACTGTCCAATGGTTAGTTCAGGTTAATGGTTAATTAACTGTTAATTTATGGGTCAAATTATTAAATTTGGTTATAGATGATAAAGAGTTCTTGATAATATTTTTTAATAAAACAAGACCATTAACTTTGTTCATTTAGGGGAAATTACATTAAAGGCATTTATTAAGATTTTATTCAGAGCCATTTCTGTGGGTAAGCTTTTTAGGTCACTTTATTTTAAGATACAATGCTCATTATTAACAAATCATTACACTGAAACTTATTTAAAATAAGTTTAAACAGCAATTCTTGAGATTTTTTGTGGGACAACTTAATTTTTTTATGTAACTGTACTTAAATTGCTTAAGTTAACATGATCGATTTGTGTTGGGACAAGATGAATGAATGGTGTGGAACCCAACATTCAGTGTTTGACAGTGTACTGCAGCTATGTCTGTTGTCTTGACTTCTTTTGGCTATGACTTCTAATATGCTGCTTATTAACAGTCAAGGTATAGTGGGTTTAGGTATGGAGGTAAAATAAGATCATGCAGGATATTTTTTTCTAAGCACAATTAAACAGCCGGTATCTTAAGAAGAGGCAGGTAAAAAGTCACTAGTTAATAGTGAGAATTGGTAACTAAAGTGTTACCACTTTTTTATGTTTTTGTTTTTGATTACAATTCTCAAAGTAACTTAGTATGTTTACACTTTATATATATTTTGATCCTTACCAAACCAGAAATGTATACATTTTAATCCTGGTTCACTTCAAAGAGTCTTGCAGAATCTAAAAATACATAAAATAATACAAATTCTTGGTGTATAATCTGTGATGGACCTTAGCAAAAACACTTTTACCAGATAAAAATGAAGAGCTTAAATGTTCAAAGGAGTCGAAGCAGTGCACAAAATAGTTGCATCATGGTTTGTTGTAATCCAACAAAAATGTGCCAAGCAAGAGATCAACCCGTTATCTTAAAATGCAAGGTCATTTGTACCAAGGTTGAAAAAAAAAACACATAAAATTCCAAAAGCAATTAATATGTCGGTAAACACTGTATTTCCCTTAGCCTTGTCTAGTCTTCCCAGGGATTAATGAGATTTGACATTCTGTGCAGAATATGTGATGTTTTTTTCCCAACTTCATCAATACATTTTAAACAATTAACAATTTTAAACCCTTAACAAACTAAACTTAAAAAAAAAAAAAAAGGTAAGAAAAGTCTGAAACGACAAATGAAATCTTTGTATTTGGCGTTTAATTACACTGCAAAGAAATACTTTTGCTGCTTGTTCAAACTACTTATTTAAAATGTGTCAAAACAACATAATTCCTAAGGATTTTTTGGGACAACCTAATTTCAGTCCACTTTAGTGATTAAGTCTTAAATAAATCAATTTGGGTTGTGACAACATGAAGGAATTGTCTGGAACACAACATTATTTCGAGTGTTTGCTGTTAGTTTCACACCCCATTCACACAGGGTGTCAGCGTCAATGCTTCCCATTTGAACGGGTGACGTCAAGCATTGCAAACTGAATTTCTCAACTTTTCAAGCGCCAATGGAAGCGTCAGTCAATCAGATTTATGCAAATACCCCAGCAGTACCACAGTAGCTGATTGCAGACTAGTTTAATTGGCTGACGCTGCTATAATGATAGCTGTTGTGTAGCCCCGTGTGAATCGGGCTTACAGTTTAGAACATAAATTTTCTTTTTGGCTTAGTCCCTTTATAATTCAGGGGTCGCCACAGTGGAATGAACCACCAACTTACTAGCATATGTTTTACGCAACGAATGCCCTTTCAGCCGCAACCCAACACTGAGAAACACCCATACACACTCTTTCACATACACTACAGACAGTTACTACTACCACTATTACAACTAATACTACTACTACTACTAATAATAATAATAATAATAATAATAAAAATTATAAAAAATATAATAGTATTCATAATTTTGTGATTGTGTTTTTCACTAACCATGTGACTCTTCCACTCTGTATGTTTGTTGAAGGGTGTGCTGGAGAGTTTTCTGGGTACAGCGGTGACTGGTGCGGTCTTCTGTCTCCTGGCCGGACAACCATTGATCATCCTCAGCAGTACAGGGCCAGTACTGGTGTTTGAAAGGCTGCTCTTCAACTTCAGCAGGTGCTTCATCCACTCTGTTTAAACTGATAATAAATATTAATTAGTTTCAGTGCTGCAGCCTGTACCATGAAGCTGGATTAGTTGGCTAGTCCTGGGTATTTTTTTAAATACCATGAAGGTAGCTTGTCTTTAATCACTTTTTGCAGCCATGGTATCTTCTGCTGCATGGCTAACCTGCTCCGGGGCTGCTTATGTTCCGGATTAGAAATCAAAAACCAATATCTAATCCAACCAATCAACTGTGAGCAAAGTGACACAGTTTCTCTTTTGAATAAAATTAAAGGTCACTAAATAGTAAAACACTTTTTTGTGTAAAAGATCTGATTTTTAACAAAGCTTGCTTATTATTATTATTATTATTATTATTATTATTATTATTATTATTATTATTATTATTATTATTATTATTATTGTTATTATTATTATTATTATTATTATTATTATTATTATTACTGTTGTTGTTGTTGTTATTATTATTATTATATCTGTAATCCATCACACATAAGCAATTTTAGTTTAAAAATCATTTCTAATTATACAGTACACTTAATTTACACTTAAATTAAATACAGTACACATTTTAAATGTTCTATAATAATATTCTGCTCACAAAGATGACATTTATTCAATAGAAAATACAGTAAAAAGTGTAAAAACTGTTATTTTATTGGATGTAGTTTATTAATTTATTCATTTTCTTTTGGCTTAGTCCCTGATTTATCAGGGTTCACCACAGCGAAATAAACCACCAACATTGGTTGCCCTTTCAGACATTACCCAGCACTGGGAAACACCCATACACTCTCGCATTCACACACACTCATATACCATGGCGAATTTAGTTTATTCAATTCACTTATGCCAAATGTAAATGGAGTAAATGGAGGAAACCGGGTTAGGAACTGGGACTGAAGATAACGAGTCATGAAGTGTTTCAGGTGTAATTTTGTTTTATTTTATTTGCGTTTTGCATACTGTCTCAACTTTTTCTGATTTGGGGTTGTATAATAAATTCTGAAGGGTCATTTGATAAAAGAAGACAATTCAGCTTTAAATCGCAGTAATAAAATTAAATATAAAACCTAATTCAATAAGGAAACAGTTTTATAAAATTGTAATAATATTTTACAAACAGTGTGTAGAATTGCAGACTTTCCTTCTTTTAAAACATTAAAAATTCTTACTGATTCCAAATTTTGGCTAGTTGTTTATTTGATATACATTATCCTTTGGCATAGTCCCTGATTCAGTAGGTATTACAACAGAGGAATGAACCTCTAATTATTCAAGCATTTGTTTTATATGATTGATGCCTCTCCAACCGCAACCCAGCACTGGGAAACACTCATACACTCATTCACACACACACATTCATAAACTATGGCCCATTTTCTTACAGATAAATATTTAAAGCTTGAAGGGTAATTGCATGTGTAAAACATGTGCTGGATAAATCGGTGGTTCATTCCGCTGTGGCGACCCTGGATAAGCCGAAAAAATAAAATAAATAAATAAGTAAATAAATGTATAAATAAATAATATTATGCATTATTTTGAGTTTTGACTTGTAAGTCTCGGTATACCCGTACAGTACATATTATCAACTATACTAACTACACAAATTCACTTATACTAATGAACCTGTTTTCTTTTAGCTTTTCTCATTCATAGACATCTATTTTTATCTTGCTGTATAAAATGTTTTCAAATTGTTTGTATTTTTTCAAACTACTGTCTTTCGAGATATATATCACAAAATCTTTCAGTTTCAAGTTATGTGATTGGCTGTTGCCTTCATGCACACACGCTCTATGAACTCTGGTTAAAGCCTGAGTTGACAGAGAAAGTTGATGATCAGTGTCATGGTACCAACAAAGTCTGATTGCACTATTTTGGTTTTGTCAACTCGAAAATAATCCTTTAATCTAATCTAAAGTTTGTTCTGCCACCATGATACAGGCTCTTATTCATAGCTTCACATACTAATTCAAATATTTTTTGCTAAAGAAATAAATAGTTTTGAAGTAAACGGTTCTGCAGGGATACATTACATTTAGTGGGTTTACATTCACTTTCTTAACCTGATTTACTTTGGCGACGCAGTGGCGCAGTAGGTAGTGCTGTCGCCTCACAGCAATAAGGTCGCTGGTTCGAGCCTCAGCTGGGTCAGTTGGCGTTTCTGTGTGGAGTTTGCATGTTCTGAACTTAAACACTAAAACCTGAACCACACTGTTCCAGTTACTATGACCATTTATGTGAAGCTGCTTTGACACAATCTACAGTGTAAAAGCGCTATACAAATAAAGCTGAATTGAATTGAATTGAATTGAATTGAATTGAATCTCCCTGCGTTTGCGTGAGTTTCCTCCGGGTGCTCCGGTTTCCCTCACAAGTCTAAAGACATGTGATAAAGGTGAACTTGGTAAGCTAAATTGTCCGTTGTGTATGAGTGTGAGTTAGTGTGAATGGATGTTTCTCAGTGATGGGTTGCGGCTAGAAGGGCATCCACCGTGTAAAAACGTGCCGGATAAGTTGGTGGTTCATTCCGCTGTGGCGACCCCAGATTAATAAAAGGACTTAGCCGAAAATAAATGAATGAATGTAGACATTAATGTATAAGCATAAACTGATTGTCAAGCATGTTAACGCATCAGTCTGCTTGCTATCAGTTATTTGAAGCGAGAACATGTAATACTGACCACTTATGAGGATTCAAGCTCATTCAGAGAGAGCACACGTTTTGCAGTGGAAAATAAAGTTGCATAAGTTAAATGAAGTTTCGTAAATGTTTCCTTATCTCATTTAACACTACAAATACTCAGAGTTAGGCAAATTATTACATTTTGACATCAGTTCTAGGAAATGAAGTGATTTATTAATAAGGTTTGTAGATTGTGTTAACCGTTTAGTTCTTTTTGTCTCTTTTTTTTTTTTGCTATCTTTCTATTCACTCCTGAAATAAAGTTTGCACTAAATGTTTTTCACCATTGATTATAAAAAGAAAAGTTCTCAAGTGAAAACTTAATTAATTTAAAAATGTTTCCTGTGTGCTTTTCAATACGCACTTTTTAATACAGGTTTTAAATGATAGCTTCAATAAATGATTTCTAATCACTGATTTATTTTGTCTTTGCACTGATGACAGTACATAATAATTGTCAAGATATTTTGAAAGATAATAGTATTCAGCTTAAAGTGACATTCAAAAAAAGTTTATGTATTGACTTATATCAATGTGTATGAATATATATTTATGATTTGTTTATATATATTTCAGTAATATTATTGACTAATATGCAAATGTTCATATGATTTATTTACAATACTAATTGTAAAGGAACATTTTCTGAAATTTAGTAGACATTATATGAAAAACTTTACCCAAAAAGTCGATGCAATTGTTTTTGCATTTAAAATCTTAAAAGTAAAATTTATAGCTTTTTTTTATTTACGTTTTAAGCTTTTATTTATTATATGCGTTAAATTATTCTGCATAAATCTGCAAATTCTATTACAAAATTCTGCACAGAAATAGCAAACAATGCCCGCAGATTCTGTTTAGCCCAATCATTGAACCACAGCTTATTGTTTTGTAGCCAATCGAAAAACAATTCACAGTCTAATTTCTTAAGGGGGTATAATTTTTCCTAATGTCGCTAGTTAACATACCCAATTTCTAGAATATCAGCCTCTACCAAATGGTTGATATGTCGGTTTATGGTAAAAGTACCTGAATTAATACATCTGAATGCTATCAAAAATCAGAAAATATGAAGTCTAAGACCAATTTATTTAAAAACAAAATCAAAATAAAACATTTTTGAATACTAAATCATCTTTAATAATCATTTCAGATTCTCATTTAACATGTTTTCTTGTTTACTTATTTTTTAATTTTTTATTTTTTTTTTTACAATAAAATCAAAATCAAGTGTAGTAGTGCAACAGGATTATGTTTGTTTGATTTTTTTATTTTTATTTTTTGTAAACCAGCAATGCTGTGTAGGGTAAACCATTATTTTAAACAGCCATTCTTTAAATGACTTTAACAGTCAGTATTTAAAAAATGGTCTACCGTTTGGTAGAGCAGGCAGTTAAAAGGTGGTTAAAATAGTTTTAGCAAACTACAGAAAACTAACAAAAAGCTATAATGTGTGCCCTATCCCTATCCTATTCACAGGGAAAATGACTTTGACTATCTAGAGTTTCGACTTTGGATTGGTCTGTGGTCGGCCTTCTTTTGCCTAGTTCTGGTGGCCACTGATGCCAGCTTCCTGGTGCAGTATTTCACCCGATTTACAGAAGAAGGCTTTTCCTCGCTGATCAGCTTCATCTTCATCTATGACGCTTTCAAAAAGATGCTGAAGTTGGCCCATTACTACCCCATCAACTCAGACTTCAAAATCGACTATGTGACGCAGTATGACTGCATGTGCATGGCGCCCACTGATGGTAAGACCTGGAACTTCTCTCAATCTCAGTTTTCATTGCTTAGACACAGACTGAACCACATAAACATTTAATCATTTGCAAGTTTGTATACTTACCTGTGTTTTTACTTTTATTCTCACTTACACATCACTTTTCTAAGCCTACCACGTGCCCACAGCAGATGCAGGAAACTATGAGTGCTGACCAAACAGAAAAAAAAAGATTACTGATGCATACGCAACATTATTTTGCTCAGTGAAGCGGATATGATGCAGCACAAAATTACCTTTTTTCCTCTTGGTTGAGACCCAAAAGCTGCTCCTCTGACCATACATTTAATATCTTTCTTGGTATCCTAATTGTTTGATTCTAGTTGTCATTTTTTTCAGTATTGAAGGTTTATTAAAGATTGTTGATTGTAACTGATGCTGATGCTCAAACTGTGGAAGCACAATAGTATCATGGGGATGGATGTACTGACATAGTAATAGATTTTATAGTGTGTTCAGCTGTTGTTGAAAGGTGTCCAGTTCCACTAATGGTAGATGATTTATAAATAGGGTCAGCATAAATAATTAATTGCCCCTATTCTTCTGCTGTTTACATTTTATATGGTAGTTCAGACCCACTGGATAGCTTTTACCATACCTCAGCTGTTTATTTAATATTTGTCCTAATTTTCTGGAGGACATAATAACAAACAAAAAAATTGCTTACTTTTGGAACACCATTGTCCACACATGGTGTGATATAAAGTCAAGAACTATACGTGTACACCTTATATGATTTAGTTTTAAAACTGCGTTCTCTGTCCACATTATACCGCTGAAAATGCACATCACATGACTACTTACACGCTCTGGCATGCGCTGCAGTTCCAGAGTTCCAGGCAGTCAGTGTGCTTTGAGCACAAATCCCCAGGTAATAGCAGCGCACGTCGGACAGTTCATCAAGGATACACCACTGGATTTCATCTCTCTATAGTTGTTAAATGTGATATTTAATTCATTTTGTCTCTATCTAATGACTCTTTAGACTTTTGAATCTATTACTTGTTCTAAGGTAACGTGTTTTGGCTGAGTGCAACGATTAGTTAACATTTTAATTCATGTAACTATGTACACTGATTCTACACATTTGACTGATTACTTGCTTTATTTCCTTTATTGTATAAACCCATTGTGCGTTATTCTTTTATAGCGGTCATTATTGATTATTAAAATATTAATATTCCGCCAAAGAGAGGGTATGATTAATATTTTTTTATGAAATTGAAAAGAGGCTATTATGTTATGGGTGCTGTGTTTTTATGCATACAGTGAAGGTGGCATTCATATAAATATGCAGCTACACGACACCTCAACATTTTTGGTGTCTGTTAAGTTGTTAACATCAAAATGAAAATAGACAGTTCCTCACATCATGTTTTCATTTTATTGTTAAGATAGCAAAACAACATAGCCAGGGTAATGTGAATGACTTCATACTTATTGTGTCCTATGTATTTTTTCTATAACAAACCTGGGAAGTCTGAACTTACAAGGAAAGGATGCAAGACTGAACTTTGTGCACTTGATATTGAGAAAAAGCCCCAATCAGATAGGTGAATGTCTCCGTTTTCAGATGTCTCAGTTTTCTTCCATCCACACTGATACGGAGCAGCTGCATTTTAAAAAGTAAACAGCCTATTCAGCGTTTGCAAAATGCTCCGTTTTCGAGGTTTGCAAACTCCGAGGTAGTGTGGACGGATGGCATAAATGGAGGAAAACTTATGATTTATGTTTTAAAACTAAAACATATAAGTGTAAACGGGGCCTAAAGTCAAGTCTCACTTTTGGAAATAGTTTTCTACTTACTTTTTTTCACAAATCTTACCGTTTCAAAGACAAAGAGAAGTCTTAGGTTAGCTTATGAGTGCTGAGACTTAATCTCTTGTTGCTCTTATTTGAGTGTACAGCCCTGTTTCTACCTGGTATTAAAATGTGTGGTTTTTAATCCTAATATAAATGGAATATTCTAAATGCAATTGCTTTCAAAAGACTGTTGGTAACATATTGACCAAAGCAACATAAGCTCATTGAAAATATGTGCTATGTGCTAATATGTTTGTGAAACCACAAAAACGTACATACAGTATGTTTGGCTGTTCAGAATTTTTTTTTTTGATAAAATGAATGCTACGAGGCGTTATGATGCGAACAATTTTAGTGTCTTTTATCAACAATGCTATTTACATGACATACTGTCAACAAATAAAATATATTTTTTTAATGCAGTTCTTTGGATAACACCAAATAAATACCATAAAACAACTAAATGGTGCCTATGGTTTGTCATATATATTTGACCCCACCTTTCAATCTATGGCCACAGCCATATCACCCTGTTGCCCAAGACCGCTTACTCACTGATGGTCATCCAGGTCAGTACCTGGATGAGAGACCACATAAGAAAACTACATTACTGTTGGAAGTGGTGTTAGAGAGGCCAGCAGGGGGCGCTCAACCTGTGGTCTGTGTGAGTCCTAATGCCCCAGTAAAAAGCAAAGGGCGCACTATACTGGCAGTGAGTCATTGTTCTGTGGCTGCCAAGTGGATGCTGCACACTGGTGGTGGTGTGGAGAGAGACACCCCCCCCCTCCCCGATTGGGTGTATGTATACACAATAAATGCGCTATATAAATACACATTACATTACATTACATATGGACAACTTTTTTCTCAGTTTGCTTGGTACTACTTCGGTCAGTTTGCTTGGTAGCTCAGATTGTATAGTGTTGTACTTGTACTTTGTATAATGTTGGGATGCAGAGTGCTCGGGTGACGCACAATTCCACAAAAGAGATTGAAAGCAATGGTAAACAAATCTATGATGTCCACTTTTGGTCAGGTTTAGGAAAAGTTTCTGTTAGTGGTTTGCTAGGTGACATGTATCTACCTTCTTGTGGATATGTACATGATGAGAGTGTATCTTAAACGCACAACCAAACATATCTTAAGTAGATATGTTATACATTTATAATGTGAAATTATAATGTAAAATTATACATTTGGCATCACGGTGGTGTAGTGGGTAGAACGGTCGCCTCACAGCAAGAAGGTCTCTGGTTCGAGCCACGGCTGGGTCAGTTGGCGTTTCTGTGTGGAGTTTACATGTTCTCCTCGTGTTCGCGTGGGTCTCCTCCGGGTGCTCCGGTTTTCCCCACAGTCCAAAGACATGGGATACAGGTGAATTTAATAAGCTAAATTGGCCGTAGTGTATGTGAATGAGAGTGTATGGATGTTTCCTAGTGTTGGGATGTTGCCGTAAGGGCATCCACTGTGTAAAACATACAGTATATTGAATAAGTTGGTGGTTCATTCTGCTGTGGCAACCTCTGATTAATTAAGGGACTATGCCGAAAAGAAAATTAATGAATGAAAATTGTAAATTTTTTTCATATTTACAAAAATGCAAATAGCGGATGTGGATTTTGGATTTGTTACCCGAAAAACTGAACGAAATATATCTGAGGGGAATGCACTTTATGTTTTGCAAAGATGTAAGCTGAGACACATATTTCCAATGCGCCTGGTTTATTGTACACAGATTGTGATCATTATAGAACATGTTGTGTGAAAGCACACCAGAACAAGGCATTCATAATACTTTGCTGTGTTGATTGAAATTGTAGTTGCCATCCACATTCTTTTCACTCTCAAGCCTTCCTGACCCATTTGTAAGCAGTAGGTTTCATTCAGAATTGCTCATGCATCACACAAAATTAGACCGGTTATTACCAGATGGAAACAGTAGTAGCTCTTGTGTTCAAATCACCAAAAAAAAATAAATAAATAAATAAATAAATAAATAAATAAATAAATAAATAAATAAATAAATAAATAAAAAGAAAAGAAACTGGTGGAAAAATGTTAAAGTCATGTACTACAGTCTCAGTTCATTGTTTAAAACAGTTTTAAGATGCACATTCACTGTGATGTGCAGCAGAAAGTTTCTTGTTTTAAAATTATTCTCTTTGTCAGATGTGCTTTATGCATCTTTATACTATTGACTGCTTTGTTCCATTGGAAACAGGAAACCTAAACTTAAGAGTATCCAAAATTTATTTTCACTGAACTGTGTACAACAAATCTATGAAAGATGCATGTCCAATAACATTCATGTGACCTCTTTGCTTAATTTAAAATCTGCAGAATTGCAGTGTTGCAGTAGTTCATTCATTTATTTGTTCATTTTCATCTGCTTTTCCGGAGTTGGGTCACAGGGGCAGCAGTTTTAGGAGAGAACCCCAGACTTTCCTCTCCACAGACACTTTTTCCAGCTCTTCCGGGGGGATGCTGAGATGTTCCCAGGCCTGTCGAGAGATATAGTTCCTTCAGCCTGTCCTGGCTATTCCTCAACACCTCTTCCCGGTGGGACATGTCTTGAACACCTCCCTAGGCATCCAGGAGGTATCAGAATCAGATGCCCAAGCCACCTCAGCTGACTTCTCTCGATGTGGAGGAGCAGCGGCTCTACTTTGAGCTCCTGCCGGGTGACAGAGCTTCACACCCTATCTATACGGGTGTGCCCTGCCACCCTGTGAAGGAAACCCATTTGGCCGCTTGTATCCGAGACATTACCCGAGACCCAAAGCTCATGACCATATGGTAAGAGTAGGAACGTAGATTTACCGGTAAATCGAGAGCTTTGCCTTTGGGCTCAGCTGCTTCTTTACCACAACAGACTGGTACTTTGACCGCATTACTGCTGCCACTGCACTGATCCACCTGTCAATCTCACTTTCCATCCTTCCCTCACTCCCGGGACAAAACCCTAAGATATTTGAACTCCTCCATCTGGGGTGAGAACTTTCCTCCAAACTGGAGATGACTGACCACCTTTTTTTTAGATGGAGCACCATGGCCTCAGATTTGAAGGTGCTGATTCTTATCTCACATTTAGGAATTCTGTCCATAAAAATAATGAACAGAATTGGTGACAAAGGGCACACCCCTTCTGGAATCCAACATGCACTGGAAACAAGTCTTGTTAGACTTATTAGACTTATTGCTAGCAATGCGAACCAAACTTCTACTCTGTTCATACAGGGACGAGACTGTCCTTAACAGAACACCTCTGATCCCATACTTCCAGAGCACCTACCAAAGAATGCTATGAGGGACACGATCAATTGCCTTCTTCAAGTCCACAAAACACATGTGGACTGGTTGGGCATACTCCCATGAACCCTCAAACACCCCAAATACTACTGTTGCAGTAGTGTTTACATTTTTGTTTGTTTTAGAGACAGACAGTGCACACTTTTTCAGTCAATTCACTAGCATTAAAGGTGCCACAAAGTGTTTCCGTCTCTGACACTTTAATAGAAGACAGCAAGAACATGAATGTAAACAGTCAGCACTGGCAATCACTTGATGTTTTTGCTTCCAGGTTATATATTGGTGTGAAATAATGTGTTAGTCAATTATCACACTGTTAAACAAGATCCATTCTGGAACTGTTTGTAATCCAGAGCACTAGACAAAACAAAGTTTTTGAAGTTTGATGTAATAATTAAATCGATTCTCTGTATCAGTGTAATATTTTGTGGCTAAGTTAGTTACATGTTGACATTGACTTGTGCTGCACAGATGATAGATCTGTTTATTGTGCTTGTGGCTCTCTATGTGTGTGTGTTTGTGTGTGGCCTCAGTAGGAATGAATGAGCAATCTAGGGGGCGGATGTGGACGTGATGTGGTTTGGGGTTAATTTCCTTCATGCATGTGGTGAACTAAGAGCGTACGGAGAGCTGCTTGCGGGTGAGACTTATCCACTCACGCTGCTTCCCTCTAAACCGCTGTTTGCTCCTCTTCGCCCTCCCTCATTTTTTCTCCAATCTGCTGCCACAGAGAGAAACAACAGCTGTGTGGAAATTAGTTCCAGTTAGGGGAACCCAGCAAAGAGACTCTTTAAAGATTAATGCAGTGGAGAAGTGGTGAAAGTTTACAATAATCATTGCAGATCGGTTGGCACGTATTGTATGTCGTGCTTAACTCAGCAATAAAACACTTGCTCTTGTTTGAACGCCTGCTTGGTAAATTTGTCATGCGTGTTGCGAGTTTAAGTGACTATTAAACACATTAAACCATTAACTGCTGATTTTCACCTGTATGATTTGGAGATACTTACTCACATGCAGAGTCTTGTTGTGTCTATAGGTTAAAAGATAAATAAACCTGATCATTATTTGAGTCTTGATTCAAGAGTGTTAAACGTATCAAATGATGAATAATTTAACAAAAGCATGGACATCAATCTCAACTGGGTGTGCAGCCGAACAAAAAGTGCACAAATATATACGAAAAACATGGCAACACTAAAAGGTCCAAATTAAATACATCAAATGAAAAATGTTTAAAAATGTATATAAATATTTATACAACAGTTTTGTCTGGTTCTCAAACCGGATTGGCTGATGGCAGTACTATATTCTGCAATATCAGAACTTGTACAGTTTCCTTACCCTTAGAGTGAGCCGCATAGAGTGACAGCAGATCAATAAACTCACTACAGTTTGACAAATATTTCAGCTGTTGGACAACATAATGCACTTTTGTGGCTTTTTTAGCCGAGATTAGTTGTTTAGATTGCAACTATGCAGTTTATTTATAAGGATAGTGCCTATTTTGGGAACACTTTATTTTGATGGTCCATTTAAGTATTAGTAGACTGCCTGCTTAATATCTGTTGATCCTGCTCCTTCAGCAGACATTTAACTGACTATAAGAAACTTTGCAAGTACATGTCAACTTACACCAACCCTAACCCCAACCTAACCCATGTGGATGCAGTGTAACTTAAATTAAACAAATGGACCATCAAAATAAAGTGTGAGCCCTATTTTAAATATTTATAAGATACAGCGGGTAGGCATCCATCAGCCTGTCATTGAGCAGAGCAAAGACTTTTGACGTTGTCCATCCACAAGACGAAGACAGAGACCGCATAATAAGCCCTTGGAAGAGAAAAGATTGGCAAATTTTTAAACTACCGTTGATCAAAACATAAAATTAGTGAGTGAAATTCTAAGTCAATCTCTCTCTTTTGTATGTTGTAGTGCTGTATTTATACCATAGTAATTGTAGTATATTGAGTGTGAGAGGGGACTCTCATATCAGGAATGTATGTATTTTGTGTTGGCCACTCTTTGTATAACCCTGAGTTGCTTTTGGGTTTGCCATCTGTTTGTTTCTAATGCATCTCCTGTTTTCGTTACTGCACTCTAGTTCAGTAAAAAAAAAAGAAAGAAGAAATGCCCGCATGTGTGAAGTGTTTTTCCTTATCTCAAACACAACAGTAATCTGGTAGTGTTTGCGTTGCTTTGGCTTTTCAGGGTTAATTATTGGGATCTCTTGATTGCAACCGAGAAATACTGGGAGATCTCTGTAGGCTGATGACATTTCATGCCTTATAATTCTAAAATGTGGGCAAAATCACCTGTTTTGTCATCACTTTAGAAATTACACTAGAGAATCTTTGCAATCACTAGCTCTTAAGTGATGTTGGTGAATTATTAACGATTTCTTCTGTTCTGACGTCAGCTGCAGATGGGAATGAATGGCGGAAGAAAGTAGTTCCTCATTCAAAAGGGTTTTTAGACTCTCCGTGTTTGATGATTCTTTTTATGTACATGATGATGCTGTAAAACTGTTGTATAAACGCAATATCACACGAGTAACAGTGCAATATGGCTGTATATCATCACTAGTGGGACACACATGCCTCCCACCAGTGCCGATATACAGCTATATTGCACTGCTATTTATATATATTTTTTAAATATAGATAGAATAGTGAAATGGGTTCAAGACTTGCAATAACATTTTTTATTTATGTATTTATTATTTTTTCAAACTAATTTTAAGTTAATTATTTATTCAACATTACAGAGTTTTTGAATTTTCTATACTCTAAAACCTCGTTTCCAAGCTTAAATATGATTTAGACTTTTTATGAGTGGATTTCGATGTTTGTGCTGATTGTATGTTTTGTCTTCTTTCTTTGTGTTTTCCAGCCAATTCTTCAGATGTGTACACTGATCCACTTGATTCAACGTTTGTCTGGACTGTAAATTATACAACAGATCCAGTAAGTTTTACCAAAACATCACGGATTTGAAACTTCACACAGGATAAACTCTTTTTTTTTACAGTTCCTACAATTATTGGTGGAAGTAGCTACTTTTTGTTATGTTTGCACTGCATAACGTGGGGATGATTTTAGCTCTAGGAACACCATTTGGTGGAACTAAATCAGCTCATACTTTAGAGCAGGGGATAATCCAGCACAATAGGAACTACAGTGACATTATTATGTGCTGATCGTTTGAATGCATGCCGTGCAAAACTCTGACACAGTTTTTTACAAGCCATATACATTCGAATAGCTCCTATTAGTGTTAGTGTTGCTGCAGAGTTGCATTGCATTACTAGTAACAGGTAGCTTTTGATCCAGTAAAGTGATGGCAGTTGTTGTCTTGTATTTTATGAATCATTAAGTGCAATTTTTTTGTAAAGATGACCTATTATACCCCTCTTCACAAGATGTAAAATAAGTCTCTAATGTCCCTAGAGTGTGCATGTGAAGTTTCAGCTCAAAGTACAGCACAGATAATGTTTTATAGCTCTTTGAAGCTGCCTGGCTTTGATCCAAATTGTGCCATTTCGGTTACTGTTGCTTTAAATTCAAATGAGATTATGCTCTCAGAAATATTCTTAATAGAGGGTGGAGCTACAAATGCCTATGTGTTAGCATAGTGGCAGATTTAAAAACAAGACTAACTTCCTATGCTAATGAGGGAGAGATCTTCACTAATGGGTGGGGCTTTTCCCCTCTGATGACCTGCACAAAGGGTGAATGTCAATCAAATTGTTTCTGCGGACTGTTTTTATTAAGTGTGATTATAAAAAAATTCATTCATATTCATTAATATTTTTTTTTTTATTAACATTAAAAGCATTTTTACCTTTAGAAGCTGGTTATATTATTGCACTGTTGTCACACAACTGTGTTTAAACTTCTAATGAAAGGGATTTTTGCATAATAGCTCCCCTTTAAAAATATATATGTTGTACTGAAGAAAGTCATCTACGTCTTGGATGGGTTCCAGATGAGTAATTAAAAAGTAAAAAAAATACATAAATTATACATTTTTAGTAAGTTGACAAACCTTTGAGAAAATGTGCCCGATTAAGTTCAGAAAAAGCAATAGATTAAAATAAACTTAAATTGTTTTTGGTCTTCTAAAATCATTTTGTTCAGACCCGGCTGATGTTGTTTTCAGCTTCTGCCACCCAAACTCCAAGCTGCAAATAATAGAGAAAGGTCTCTATGACAATAAATTCATTCAGATAGTCCTCTGTTTGAGATCATGAATGCTGAAATCCCTGCCAACATCTTTGTGACTCAATGTGCCGTTTCTCATGTGTTGCACCTTTTGTGCAAACCTGAACAGCAACAGAGTCATTGTGCAACTTCAGAGAATCTGGAGAGAACCAGGCATCTGCCTTCAAAGAGAAACTAAAAGCTTTAATGTTTTGCATTTGTCTTTGTTTAAAACTCCACTTTAAATGGATGGTCTGGGTTCAGGTCAAGCTGAGGGAAAACATTTGAACTCTTCATTAATGTGTTATATGGAATGTATAATGTGTTATAAGGGGTGTTATATGGAATTTAGTTTTAAATGTTTGATTTAATCCCCTGATGATTAGATATTCTGATCAAGTGTTTTTTTTGTCTCATTTGTGCAGCGCATGAATGCCACCTGGTCCTCCTTATCAAAGAAGGAATGCCTGAAATATGGAGGAGAGCTGGTGGGTAAAGCCTGTGAATTTGTGCCCGACATCACCCTCATGTCCTTCATCCTTTTCTTTGGCACCTACACCTGCTCCATGTGTCTGAAGAAATTCAAGACCAGTCCCTTCTTCCCTACTACTGTAAGTAATCACACTGCAACACTTTTGTGACGTATTCTTCAGTGTGTCGCTCTAATCATACAGTATTAGTATAGCATGTGCATTTGTTTGATCAAGGCAGTTATTGATCCTAATCACTACTGCAGTTGATAGGCAAGAGAATACTGATGAAATGCACACCTTTTAGTTCTAAAAGGTATATATACAGTATTGTTTCATTTTAGGTGAGGAAGCTCATAAGTGACTTTGCTATTATCCTGGCCATTTTGATCTTCTGTGGTGTCGATGCTCTGGTTGGGGTTGAAACACCAAAGCTCATAGTGCCAAGTGAATTTAAGGTAAGCATCTTTCCATAATGTCTGTTTTTTGTAAAATAAAATTCCTTCGGGTATATGATTTTAAATTAGGTTTAGTGCAGGTCTAACGTTTTTATTTTGTTTTTATTTAAAATTTGTTTTGTTTTGTTTTGCTTTGCTTTGCTTTGTTAATTTAATTTTTAATTTTTGAAATTAAATTAAATTAAATTAAATTTATATTTTTATTTTATTTTATTTTATTTTATTTTATTCATTTTCCATTGGCTTAGTTCCTTATTAATCTGGGGTCGCCACAGCAGACTGAACCGCCAATTTATTCAGCATATGTTTTATGCAGCAGATGCCCTTCTAGCTGCGACCCATCTCTGGGAAACATCCATACACACTCATTCACACACATACACTACGAACAATTTAAACTCTTTGGACTGTGGGGGAAACCGGAGCACTCAGAAGAAACCCACGCAAACACAGGGAGAACATGCAAACTCCACACAGAAACACCAACTGACCCAGCCGAGGCTTGAACCAGCGACCTTCTTTCTGTGATGCGACAGCATTACCTATTGCGCCACTGTGTTGCCTTTGTTTTATTTTATCGTATTATTTTTTGATAAATTTTCCTTCGACATAGTCCATTATTTATCAGAGGTGGAATGAACCACCAACTATTTTTATTACATTTTATTTTCAATAATTTTCCTTCAGCTTAGTTCCTATATTTATCAGGGGTCACCACAGTTGAATGAACCACCAACTAATTTATTTTATTTTATGCTCTATGGTGCATTTTCTTTATTTAAATTGTTGTTCACAAAAATTTATCACTTTTAATTTTAAGTGTAATTCTTGAATTTCCAACTGACATTACTAAAATTTATTTTATTTTATTTTTAATTTTAAAGTTTTAGAAAGTTGGTTGAGTTTTATCATATATATTACTAATACTGATTGCAATACTAAAACATGTCTATATAGTATTATACTTTTTATACTATTTTATTTTGTACTTTTTTTACTATTTTATAGTGTTTTATATATATTTAATTTTAGTTCGTTTTATTTAGTTTTGCAGTTTAAATGAACAAAAATTGCAACAAAATAAAGTTTAACAAAATGTAACATCTTATGGTTTAGTTTTAGTAAGTACAATTAAAGCATAAGGAAATGCATGTCAAATGATTTTCAGATGTAAGAACGACTTTACTGTAATGAATAGCTCTGATTAATTTACATGCCAAAACTGCATCCAATCATATGTGAGCTTACGAAGGCATAATGAGTTTTCCCGAGCTTTTCTGCTCTTTTATATTTTATCAGTATGTTTACTTAAAATAAGCATTGTTTACTGTGTAAATGATGAACAGCCAGTTTTGCATGAACTGCTCAGTATTTGTTGCTGTTTATGTATGCAGAGTTTCTTTTGGGACAGTGATCAGTGTTTGGGTCAAGCCACAAGGTGTTTTTGCTCAGGTGGCCTGATGCTCTGTTTAATAAAAATAGATTTTTCTCAGGAAGAGTTAACATCAGAGGGTGCACTGGGTGGCACACTGCATCTTACACTCAGACTCACAGTATGAGTCAATATCAGTCCAGTCAGATCATTTCTGTTTGTATCCTGTAAACATTTGCCAAGCGCCCTGACTGCAGACTTCTGTGATCCTCAAACTGATCTCTTTTCATGTTCTCAGCCAACAAGCCCAAACCGTGGCTGGTTTGTGCCACCGTTTGGTGGAAACCCCTGGTGGGTGTACCTGGGAGCGTCTGTGCCGGCCCTGCTGGTCACCATCCTGCTCTTCATGGATCAGCAGATCACCGCTGTCATTGTCAATCGCAAGGAGCACAAGCTTAAGGTAGGCCTGCTGCGAGTCTGCTGTGAGACTCTGTCCCAAGCCAGATGGTTTATCACGCTCACTTTGAGCCATGCAGGACCACAGCAAACACTTGCAGTGCTGAGGGCGACTATATCGGGATATTTATAGCACGTTCCTTATAAATAAAACCCTGTAATATTTTGTCTGGAGCTCATGAATCAGCACATGGAGTCAAAAATAGCATCATTCAAACAGATGCACGCCAAGGGGGAAAGTGTCATATAAATAATGCAGGAGCAGCGAAAGGGTTAGTTCGTCCTGAAATGACAATTTCTGCCATCATTCACTCAATCTAAACTCAAAAGATTGACATCCGGAACACAAATGAAGATATGTTGTTCCTCCATTCTAAACTTATTTATCTTACTTATTTTTAAAATTCACAGATATATACTGTATCTATATAACAATTAATCTATACATTGTATATAAATTAGATATGTCCTAGATTAGATTAAAATAATCTTCTGATGTTGAATTAGTTTCTTACCGGTTTTGAAGAGCACAAGGGACAGTGAATGATTAGAGAATTTACATTTTAGCGAGTGATCTAACCATGTAATATTGGTTGTATTTTAATAATTATATAATTATATTTAAGTTATGAATAATAGTCTACTATATGCATGTTGCCTATTGAGTTCACCCCTCACATACAGTTGAAGTCAGAATGAACTGGATACAAATACTCATTTTCAAAAAGGGGTTTTCTCATTAATGCTGGGCACTGTATATGTTCTCATTCAATATTTTCACGTTCAATCTTGGTGCTTCAGAAGGTCATTTTATCCCACTGGCACACTGCTGGTCTACAAAGGCCAGATTCTGAATAGTGGAACAAAGAGGGATTGTGAATCAGACAAAAGCAAAGCTTTTATTCTCTTCTGGTCTGTAATGTGAGACTGGCCTCTAAACATTGGGGCCTGAGTAATGCTTCCCTGTGAAAGGACATTGTTGCCATCTCTATGAAGATTACACTGATCTGATGACCTATCGTATTGTACTTTTAAATTTATGTTTCAATGCAGCACTTAACAAGCCTAGTTGATTATTTAAAGGGACAGTTTACATTTACATTTACATTTAGTCATTTAGCAGACGCTTTTATCCAAAGCGACTTACAAATGAGGACAAGGAAGCAATTTACACAACTAAGAGCAACAATGAATAAGTGCTATAGGCAAGTTTCAGGTCTGTAAAGTCTAAGAAGGGAAGTATTAGTAGTATTAGTAATTTTTTTTTTTTTTTGTACAGTTATAGTGATATTTAAAGAGGCAATTGCAGATTAGGAAGTGAAGTGGAGACTAAATAGTTGAGTTTTTAGTCGTTTCTTGAAAGTAGCGAGTGACTCTGCTGTTCTGATGCAGTTAGGGAGTTCATTCCACCAACTGGGCAGATTGAGCGTGAGCGTTCGCGAAAGTGATTTCTTCCCTCTTTGGGATGGAACCACGAGGTGACGTTCATTCACAGAACGCAAGTTTCTGGAGGGCACATAGATCTGCAGAAGTGAGAGCAGATAAGAGCAGATAAGAAGGAGCAAGGCCAGAGGTCACTTTGTAGGCAAACATTCACCCAGTTCACCCAAAAATGGTTGACTTTGTTGTTCTGGAGTGTCAGATTTACAATGGCCCTAATTTTTTATGTTAAATGAAATACTATTTTCAGGCCATGTTTACTGGCTGGCCACAGTCTTCCACTGCACCTTGGTTCAGCATTTATTTCAAAGGATCCCTACCCTGTACTAAAATGGCGGCTCTATTGACGCCTATCCTTTCAATAGACAACAACAGGGTAGACGACATCTAATGTAAATATCTATGATTGGCAACATTGGTGCTATTAGATGTGCCTTTTTGTATTTGCATGTGTTGTGATAATATGCATGCATGTGTGTTGTCAAACTGATGAAGATTTGTTTTCTTAACTTCCAATGTGTTCGATCTCTCTTAGCCACCAAACAGAATTAAGTATATAGGCTCTATTCTTAAATTCTCTATTCTCTATTCTTATTCTTAAAGCAGTAAATCATTTGCATTTAAAGAGACAGGCACAAAAACAGCATTTTTTTCCACACACACCCAAAATAGGTTCAAATTTGACCAGTTATAAAACATTATTTGTCTGAGTTAAAACCTCACAGACACTTTCAGAAGACACCAGAGATTTATTTTTGGTTGAAGGGGAAAAAAGTTTCCCATAAAAGTTTCAGTCTTCGCAAATTAATGATGAAAATTTGATGCGTCTAAGTAACTTTTGCAAATTAACTTTGATGTGACATCACGTTAACTATGCATCACTTTAACTAAGTTCAAATTATTTGTTAAATTCTCACTTTTAAAATGTAATATGTGAAATATTGGCATCAACCTTAACAATAAAATATATAAACAACACAAACTGTAGTGGTCAACAAGACATAGTCTACCACTATTATCAGCAATTATTGACAGAATTGGTATATTTTGACACAGTTGCCATTAATTGATCACAATTCCTCTGGTCTAATATCATTTTCTAACCACCTGCTTTTGTTTGTATGGTTTAGAAAGGTGCAGGCTATCATCTGGACCTTTTCTGGGTGGCTGTTCTGTTAGCGGTGTGCTCTTTCATGGGTCTGCCATGGTATGTGGCTGCAACAGTTATTTCCATCGCCCACATTGACAGCTTGAAGATGGAGACAGAGACCTCTGCCCCAGGAGAACAGCCCAAATTCTTAGGTGTCAGGTGAGTTCTATGGTGTATAAAAGATGAGAAGATTTCATCTGATCTCTGTGTATCTGTATTGTGTCAGTGTAACACTGAAGAATCTGACTATGACTATAAAGCTTTTATGTCTCTCATGGAGTACAGATTTGGGTGCTGCAGGGGGTCTGTTTAAAGGCTGAATGTTGGACTGAACTCCAGGAGGCTTTATTGATGCAGCTGTAAGCTGAACAAACTTTAAAAAGGCTCAATTGTGTTGAAGCCAGTGTTTAGGTTGTGTTTTTAACACTTCTCGGGTACAGTTAAAGGAGTAGTTAACCCAAAAATGAAAATAACCCCTTAATATACTCACCCTTAAGCCATCCTCTGCGTATATGACATTTTCTTTTCTATCAGACAAAAACACAGTCAGAGTAGTTTTAGATTTTATTTTGGCTCTTCCATGCTGTATAATGGTGGTGGACGACGGCTTTTATTTTGAAGCTTAAAAGAGCACATGAATCCATAATCAAACCTTAGCTATGGCCTACGGTCACAGGTTATTTATTTACGGTCTGTTCCTAAAGAGCAGACCGAGATGGGAAAAAAGGCTTTTAAATTCGCATCACCTTTTGCATGGAATAATCTAAAAAGTTGCCGTTTAAAGTATTGATTTCATTAAATGCTTTTTAAAAGAAGATAAAGATTTAGAAATTGAAACACAGGCTTGTAGATATTTAGAATAATTTATTTATCAATGCGTGATTTTTGTTACCTGCTAATTGTTTTTGTTTGTTGTCTGTTAGAGCCATGTGACATGCATACTGCCTAATCTTGGCCAGGACGCTCTTGTAAAAGACATTTTTTAAATCACTGTGTCTTGGTAAAATTAAGGTTAATTAAATTAAATTAAATTCACCTTTATTACTATATAGCGGTTTTACAATGTGGATTGTGTCAAAGCAACTTCACATAGAATATTATAGTATATTGAAACAGTGTCAGTTCAGTTTTCAGAGTTTAAAATAGTTTAGCTCAGTTCAGTGATGCTTAATATTCAATACTTAAGAGTCCAAACACTGAATAGCAAATCCATCGTTGCGCAGCTCTACAGGTCCCAAACCATGCAAACCAGTGGTGACAGCAGCGAGGTAAAAACTTCCACCAATTCAAGAGTTCCCACTTAGATATGCTTGGCATTTATAGCAGGTTTGGCATTCTGTCCCGGGAGAGAACCCTGAGCTCGGAGATATTTGAGCCCAGGGCTCCCGCCCGGTCTAGAAGCAAATCAGGGGATCCGAGATCAGGTAGGTCTCGATCGCTCCCCCTTTAGAAGGGGAGAAAAAGGAGGAGATGGGGTGGAAGGGGGGATTCTTCCAAAAAGAAGATATTAATAAAAGATTATTACTGATTACGGATGAGTGGCCAGCTGTGCACAATCATATCACGTGCTCCTCTCGAAATTAGTTTGTGAAACTTCACTTAGCGAAAGTGAAGATAATAATAATAATAATAATAATAATAATAATAATAATAATAATAATAATAATAATCAAACTAACCCATGTGACACTAGGGTGTCTTATGAAGAAGATCAGTTTTTGTAACAGGATTATTGCAATTTTTTTATTATCAACTTTAATCACTGATTTCCTGCAGAAACCAAATGTCATGTTATGTGTGACACATACAGTATGACGTGTGACATAAGACAAGTAGACACATCTAAGCAGATTTGTAAGCATAATATACTGTATCGTGTTATACAGTAAAGCCAAAGCTTTTAAAATCTTGTTTGTCATCAACGCATTCTGTAATAAACAAACTGTGTGTGGTAAGTGGTTTCCTTGAGACGCGTCTATTCCCAGAGCTTCCAATGATTGGAGTTTATAATTGAAGTGTATTTTGGTACATTTTTTTAATTTGCTTGAAACTACTTCCATTTAAAAAAAAATGAAAAAGGCAATATTTAATCTAGAGTGTAGTCAGTCCATTATTGCTGATTTTTTGCTATCTAACTGCATGCTATGTAATGAAAATTAAAGGATAATCCCATAAAGGGATTTTCTTTTATTACTTTAATAACTTGAATTTGTTTTGATTTGTGTTTTTAAATATTACACAAGCTTATATTTTAGCTAACAGTGATCATTAAAATTGGAATTCGTTATTCATGTTTGTGGACATGGGATCTAATGGGTCCAAGCTCATAAAATGTCAGCTTATGTCACTGAACAAGCAGCTAAACTCTTAAGCTGCACCTGCGGGTCTGTCACCCTGATAATTGTACTGCAAGTCAGTGTTGATAGAAGCGTCTGCCAGCTGATGTGTTCCTATAATTAAAACAATTATATGCTGCATACGTGCTTGTCTCAAGATTGTATGGCTCTATGCATTAATGCTGTGTGCGGCTGCAAGTGGGCTTTGCTGAAAAAGCAAACCTATTGATTAGAAGTGGGTGTCCACAAATTATATGACTACAACTTTTTTTTTTAAAGAAACAAGTTCTTTTATTGAGCTAGGATGCATTAAATCGATCAAACAGCTTTCTAATCATATTTATAATGTTAAATGTTCTGCCATAGTTTACCCACCCTTCACTTGTTCAAAACCTATTTGAGTTTTTTTTTTCCTCTGTTGAACACAAAATAATACATTTTAAAGAATGCTGGTTCCTTGGATCCTTTGACTTCCATAGTAGGAACAAAATACTATGGATGTCAATGGGTCCCAGCAACCAGCATTTTTCAAAATATCTTATATCTTAAATGTCTATTCCTGGAGCTTCCAGCGATTGGAGTTTATAATTGTAATGTATTTTGGTCCATTTATTTTTCTTTTTTTATTTCCTTGGAACTATTTACATTTTTAAAAAATGAAAAAGACAGTATTTAGTCCTAAATGTAGTCCGTCCATTATCTTATAAAGGTGTAAAACCAGATCAGTTTGAATACATTATGAGGTCATTTTAATTTTGGGGTGAGCTATCCCTTTAGGAGATTTCTATTTGAAATAGTCTTTACTATAGGCGTTGTATTCATCAGAGATTTGTTGACAGCAGCCACATGTTTAGGTATATTAGACAGAATAGCAGTGTTTAATATTGATATTAATAATCATTTATTTTTCTTGAGAAAAGCAGCATATTAGAATGCTTTACAATCACAAAAATAACTAACTTTTTAAAATATTTGAACGTAAAACAGTATAAATTGTATTTTTTACTTTGTTCACGTACATGACATCTTCAGGCCATTCACACAGAACATGTCTTTGCATCTAAAAACATTAAATAATTAAACATTAACTGAAGCACAGTTACTGAGCGCCTGTAAACAAAAGCTCACAATGCTCCTCCTCCGAGTTTTTCTGATTGGTCCACTGCTTTGGAACTGACATTGATGAGCAGAACAGTATGAAAAGTTGAAATTCTGTAACTTGAAACTTAAAACTTACTGTTCAAGTGCGAGGGGTTGCAAGATGCAAGCATAATGTTCAGGGTTGTGTTTTCAATTAAACCAATGCTTAAGTACTGCATTGCAATGGAAACCCATCTTTTGCGTGAATTAGGCATGGGACGATAACCGGTTTCAAGGTTTACCGCAGTTTGGAAAAGTCAAGGTTTTAAAACAGCCAGAATTTTCTGTTATACCATTTCTAATGTGTATGTAAGGTTTTTTTTTTTTTTATGTTTTTGTGTTGTAAAGAAATCGTTTTTTTTTTTAAACTAATGAAGGTACCAAAAGTCTATGAATGAGTTTAATTATTTACCCCAACATGTTTACTGTTCCAAAATATTATAAATGTTTTCTAAAATAAAATGTATTTTGTTAATTGTAGGAAAATTTTTTTTTTTTGTTTTTTTCCCCAGAAAATTAAAATGAACCTTTTTTAGAGCAGTAATCACAATACCGTGATACTGTGAAACCGTGCTATTTTTTATCCAAGGTTATCATACAATCAGAAAATTATACCAGCCCATGCCTAGTGTAAATGAGTGATTTTTGGGCAAATAGTGTCAGTTGAAATGTTGAAATGACGATAAATAAAATTCTTTTATCATTTCCTCTTTAGGGAACAAAGAGTCACTGGTGTCATGGTCTTCATTCTTACTGGCATTTCTGTCTTCATGTCTCCAGTTCTCAAGGTAAGATACATTTGTTAAAAACACTGCTGCATCTTTGTCTGTTCTGAATCTCACAATGGCTTTGAATGACTGAATGTTGCTTTCTCATAGTTCATACCCATGCCAGTGCTGTACGGAGTCTTCCTTTACATGGGTGTTGCATCACTTAATGGCGTGCAGGTCAGTTACCAACTGTCTAGTTTCATTTTTTTGAATGTAAAATTTAGAATATAAGAAAGTTTAATTAAATCCATTCACATTTTAAATGCAGGATATTTCCATAAACAGTACATCTTAAAAATCTTAAGCTGGGCTGATTTAATTTTGTTTAACTTTAATTTAGCTGATTTAAGTGTTTAATTTTGGCCACAATTTAGTTATTTAAAGCAATTTTTAAATGCTTACATTCCTGTAATTTGATTGATATGTTCATTTATGGTGACCTTTAAAGAAGGAGTAATTAAAAAAAAACATTTATACTGGTTAGAAGCACCAATAATTTAAGTGGTATAAATGTGTAGAAGGTGTGGGACCAAAAAAAAAAAAAAACTGGGTTTGATTTTCACAGACAAGATAGGTCATCAGCACATTCCCACTTTGCAGATTGACAGAACATGTGTCCCCTAAAGCAGCTGAAAATGCCAACGCTCTTCCAAAAATTCTCTGCTGTACACTTGAGAGCTTATTTCTGCACTGTGTTTAACTCAGAGTTGAACAATTTCCACCTGCCAGCACATTTAAAAAAACACTGGGTGCATGTCTGCATGATACTACATGTGAAACCGCCTTGTCTTAACACGGCAACTACCAGAATGCTATAACTACTGTACTTAAATTACCATCGAGGTCATTCTGAATGTTATCATATAAAAGAGGTCATATTGTCACAGCATATTACATACAAAGCTTCTATTGAGATGTCAAAATCAAATTTAAATGTATGTCATATCTAGTAATTTCATCACCCTAAAAATGTGATATTTGTGACATGACAGCCTATAAATGTATAGTTAGGCTATTTTAGATCACCTGCGAATGTTTGAGCCCCACTTTAATTTTTGCTTTCAAAAGTAGTTTTTTTTTTTTTTTTTTTTTTTTTTTACTGAATATGCTGTTTATCTGAAGTAAAGTTGTGTTTTTGCTATCAGAAAGTTGTTTTTGTTATCAGGAAGTTGCTAGGCAACAGAGGCACACAAATTCAAAGTCACTGGGAAACCTTCCTTGTTGTTGCTAGATCAGATATGGTTGCAGCTGGAAGTTAATGAAATTAATTTACAGTATTTATTAAATTTCCCATTAATTGTATTTTATTAACGTCTTCCCCCACCCCAACCCTAAACCCAACTTTCACAGTAAAAATATTAATTATTGTTATACAGTGTCATAAAAAATGCTGCTGTATTGATGTGCACATCACACTATTAGCCGGCCGTGTATCCTATCTAGATTTTACCAAAATTAGCAGACACTGAAATGTACAGTATGCGTTGGGCGACGCAGTGGCGCAGTAGGTAGTGCTGTCGCCTCACAGCAAGAAGGTCACTGGTTCGAGCCTTGGTTGGGTCAGTTGGCGTTTCTGTGTGGAGTTTGCATGTTCTCCCTGTGTTTGCGTGGGTTTCCTACAGGTGCTCCAGTTTCCCCCACAGTCCAAAGACATGTGGTAAAGGTGAATTGGGTAGGCTGTATTGTCCATTGTGTATGAGTGTGAATGAGTGTGTATGGTTGTTTCCCAGTGATGGGCTGTGGCTGGAAGGGCATCTGCTGCGTAAAATCGTGCTGGATAGGTTGGCAGTTCATTCTGCTGTGGCGACCCGGATTAAGAAAGGGACTAAGCCGAAAAGAAAATGAATGAATGAATTAAATGTATGCGGTCATTTAGAGCACTATGGTAGTTAAAAGTAGAAATACTTATAGCTCTCTTGTGTTTAGTAATTTTAATAAAATAACAGCGTTAACAGTGTGTTCATTTATTCATTCATTCATTTTCTTTTCGGCTTAGTCCCTTTATTAATCTGCGGTTGCCACAGAACCGCCAACTTATCCAGCACGTTTTTACGCAGTGGATGCCCTTCCAGCCACAACCCATTACTAGAAACTTCCATTCACATTCATTCACACTCATACACTACGGACAATTTAGCCTAGCCAATTCACCTGTACCTAATGTTTTTGGACTTGTGGTTGAAAGCGGAGCACCCGGAGGAAACCCACACGAATGCGAGGGAACTTGCAAACTCCTCATTGAAATGCCAACTGACCCAGCCGAGGCTCGAACCAGCGACCTTCTTGCTGTGAGGCGACAGCACTACCTACTGCGCCACTGCGTCACCTTCAGTCAGATATATCTGTTTTATTTTAACTAAAATATTACATTTCAAAAATTAAAAGTAGTCAAAGTAACTGCCTCTGTAGTTCTAGGGTTAAGAGCCTCATCTTACTACTGGTGTTCTAAACAATGTGCCACTCTCAGAGAAAGCAGCAGCCTTGGAAAAAAAGTGCTTTGGTGGAATTTTTTCTGCAAAAAGCTGGGACACACCAAGCCGACAGTCAGCCATTGGTTTAAATCAATCTGGCTAGTTTGTTTGGTGTGTTCCAAATGTCACATCTCCAGGTTAACCTCAGAGCATTTTGATCCAATTCAACATTTGAAATTGGCATTAGTCATCAGCTAAAGAGAGCACTCTGACTGGGAGGGGGATTTTGCGCCATTGTGCCAAATAATTTTTTAAATTATTCTTATAATTAAAATAAATAGTTTTTGTTAATGTTTATTTTGCATTTTATACGAGTTTAATATTTTATTTTATCAAATAAAAAAATATATACCACCTCTCCCACTCCATTGACCATTTGATTGAGTCGTTGCAGCTGGATATTATTTCGTTGCTTGGTAACAGTCGCATGTTTAACATGGAGAGAATAATGAAGAGATGTGGAGCGCAAACTAGGAAATAAGAAAAAAAGAACAAACAACGCCTTGAAATGAAAACTGCCATGACAAATTGGATAATAAGAGATTGGTAAGCTTAACCCAAACAATTTATATCAAACTTTTAATCAACTTCTAATGTTTTAAGGAGTGCCGGAGCCATCATATCATTAATTATTCATTATCGTCACCTAGTCACTGCCTGGTTTTGTCCAGGCAGGGGGACAGTGATGCACGACCACTCCTGGACTGCATCCGAAATCGCACATCCATACTGTATAGTATGTGAAAAGCAGTATAATTCTATGGTCTAAAGCCATTGGGCTGACGTAAAGTTGACTTTATGCTGGACGCTTGATAGTCATAAATTTCTGGACAGTCAGCTTTAAAAGATGAATTTTTATTTACTGCATTTAAATATTGATTAAAGTAATAGTTATATAGTAAAGAGCAGCAAATGAATCTCAGTTTGATCCACTGTTTTGTTTGATAAGAGAGGTGTGACTTCAAGAACGCGCATAATGAAAACACTAGTTTTGTTTACGTTCATTTAAGATAATATTAGTTGTGTTTTAGAATAAACCATGCTAAGATGTACATGTTTAAATATTATTATTATTTGTCAGTTCACACACCCGAATCTCAAAGTATCTGCTTTCATCCATCCTCAAATCATGTGTATATAAGTCGTCTTTATTTCTACGAAGCGCGTCTGTCAGTCAGCACTGTTATACTTTAATTGACTGATTCAGAGGCTGCATAAGGGCGGTGATAGATGCATAAAGCTTTACTGAAAAGGATGTGAATGCAGCCGTTTTTATATTACAGTAATTTCAACGTGCTGTCAATCCAAAATAATGCATTCTTTTGCCCTTTAGGACTACCACATCTATCATTTAGTTTTACAAATGTTAGACAAAATGTAGTACAAAAAGTACATTGGCAAGGCATGTCAAGGTGAAAATGAAATTGAGAAGAAATTTAAGGTGTGATGAGATGTAGTTCTTTGTAACTTAACATGTTTACTGTAATTATACTTTTACCACTTCATTGTATATCAGTTGGGTTCAGAACTGCGAAATGCATTTGTTTGAAATATGTTGATAAGGAAAAAAAGTATCCTTAATTTATTGATGGAAGTATTTTGATACTGTTGGGGTGGTGGGGGTGAAAATTTTGAACCCCAAATACCCCTCAGTAAATGTACCGTTGCGCCCCTGGTGATAATGGTACTAAAGGCTACTTTGTTTATGGTTTGCACGTTCTGGTTTTCCTTTGTGGAATGAGAAAACAGACTACTGCTCCCGCGGGGGCAGAAAACACTCTCATTTTAAACTGCTGCTGTCCGTTTGGTGTGTTCACCGACATGAGCCAAGGGTGCTAGTTTTTGGCATCTGACTCACTGTAATAATACTGGCTTTGAACTGTAGTGTTTTCTCTCTGGTGAACAAGACATAAATCTTTCTTTCTGTTTTTTTTTTTCACCTGATCCTCCGCTCTGCCTGTGCACATTCATGTTTGTTGAAGGAGGCATGGCTTTTGGACAGTGATTGTCCCAAGAGGGCAGAATCTTTAGCTTTAGCAGCTGCTTGCATCTCTGAAATCACCCCACCTTCAAAGCAAGAACCAATAGGGGCACAAAACCTGATGATGCAATAAGCAAGACAACTTCAAACCACCTCAGGGTAAATGTTGAAGTGAGTCGTATGGACAGAACAACAATAAGAGAATTGCATTAAGTTATAAAGTGAAAAGGAGTGTTTGTGTTGCAGCCCAATGTATCATGAATGGGCCAACAAGAAATAAGCATTTCAAATACAGTCACTAATTCTAAAACATTGAAGTGAATATGTGGGGAATTTGTTTGAAATACTGATATATATATATATATATATATATATATATATATATATATATATATATATATATATATATATATATATATATATATATATGAGTTTTGTTATCTTTAATTTCATGTTTACTGATGACAAGGATCTTCGTGTGTGTCCATTTTCATTCCTGATAGTCATACATTCTGACATTATGACAACTGAGTTCTTAAAGTGTGACATGAGAATCATGTTCATAGTCTGACAAGCAACACTAGTAAATAGCTATTAAAAATCAAATATGAACCTGACTTTAGTTAAAATAAGTGTATCTGGTGTAAAAAATAAAGTATTGCTCTTTGGTTCTCAGTTTATGGATCGGCTTAAACTGCTTCTGATGCCTGCCAAACACCAGCCAGACCTGATCTACCTTCGACACGTTCCTCTGAGAAAGGTCCATCTCTTCACCTTTGTCCAGCTGCTCTGTCTGGCTCTTCTTTGGGTCCTCAAGTCCACCGTGGCGGCCATCATCTTTCCTGTTATGGTTAGTCATCTCTTGTAGCCATTTCTTCATCTAAAAATCATCAGCTGTGGCCACACAAACTGAGAGCTCCAGGGCTTGTCAGTTGTTTACTGTAAGTCTACTAAAAAGGAACAAAGCTACACTTAAAATTAGACATATGTTGATTTTCACTAATTTTATGTATTGAACATACACTATATTGGGGTACTTCAAAATACCTGTGAATAGTTTTAGCATGCTTTTTAAGTGTATTATTGTTTTTGCAGTGGTGTTCATATTGACAATGCCAAATGTTTGAAGACATTCTTGATAGTTTTTATCTTATATTTATTATAATTTATATCATAATTTATATTTGCGCATGTTCTTCAGACCTACTACAATATTGACAAAAATTCTGTCTCTAGACTATTTTAGGGCTTTTGTACACTAATACAGTGTAATAAGGTTCCGTTTGTTAATGTAAGTTCTTTTAACTAAACTTATGATGAAAGGCTCTAAAGCTTTTCCTAATCTTAGGTGCTCTTTAACTAAGAAATTAACAACACCTATGATGAAAATCATCTTTTGTAAGCTGTTTAGACAGAACTGTGTGTAGTATAGTGTGTCCACAGTCATATTGGGGTGATATACAGACAATTAGTTTCAAATTTTCCCGTCGTTAAAATAGAATCCAAATCCCTCCCATTTTGAGGCCCACCGCGTCGTGACGTATGAGTGCGGTTTTCTCGGCCATCGAATTGATTGACAGCCACGTATTAACGTGTCTCCATAGTAATGCATATAATCATATCAATAAGACAGGACATGCGCAAAGCAACTGGGATTAAAAGATCTGTTGAGCTCTCTGTGATCATCAATCATCATCAAATGTGATCAAGAATGAGCTTTACAAGTTTCAAACGTTTTTAAAACAGTGCATGTTTGTAAAGAATTACAGCTATTTACCGTCTTTGCTTCACCACAGCCGCATGTCAGTACAATTATAAAAGAAGACGCTTCAATCCTGGTTTGTGGACGTTAAATGATTTTTTTTTGCACATCTACATAACAGATATCCATACAGCAGTGGATATTAATGTGTATCCTGTCACATTTGCCATGTAAAAACAGTGCAAAGTTAAACACGTGTGTGTGTGTGTGTGTGTGTGTGTGTGTGTGTGTGTGTGTGTGTGTGTGTGTGTGTGTGTGTGTGTGTGTGTGTGTTTGTGAGGTTTGTAACAACATTGTGTGTGACTAATCATTGCAACTCCACAACAAATACATCAAATAATCATTGGAAAAGTTGTTACTGTAGTATTTCTCACAAACGTTACTTGAGATCTGCTTCCGTCATGTCTGTCCCTTTGCTGTTTATCTGACGTAGCCGAGGTGGAGAGTGAGACACATTCTGACAGGCACGTGGGAATGGCGTGGGGGGGGACTAGTATTAAAGGCACAGTCAACAAAAACATCTCCATTGTGTTCAGAGCAGAAAAATGCAATATTCTGAAAGGTATAATAAATAATCTGATGGGTGTTTTGAGCTGAAACTTTACAGATGGTGCCCTTTAATGTGGCTGTTTATGCAAGGATTAAGTTTACACGTATTAGCAAGTGCATGTGGGTGTATCCAATTTCATATGTATGCAAGTTTCATATATATTGTTTTGAACACCCAATAGTATACTATTGGTATATTTGCGAGTAATTTATAATTGTATATGTCTTGATTGCCATCGATATATGTTAGGAAAGATAGTTGGTGAACTACAGACCTGTGATGAACTACAATTCTCTGCATTCTGCTTTGCACACACCGGACTCCATTTCCATTAATCACACACAAACAGCTGAGACCCGTTATCATGGATTGTTTGGACTATAAATGCATCTTGCTTGTCTGAGTGTTTGTATGTCATGTGGAGGTTCTGTTATGTTGATGTTTCTGAGCCTGAGTCATGTTTGAGTTTCGTTTGTTTTTTCAGTTTGTTTATTTGATACTTTGTAAGACATGATGAAGACTGTATCATTAAAATTGCACTTGAATCCTATCTTTTGTTCTCATCTCATCATCACATTGTGACAGAATGGAGTCCAGTGTGTGCAAAAGAAATGCAGGGAATTGTTGTTCACCACAGGTCTTTCCCAACATAGATCAATGGCAATCATGACAGTATATGCACGTTTTGTGTATGTGTTGATACTTTTAATTTAAGTTTTACACGGCACATAATTATAAACATCCTAACTGTAATAAATTGGACTTTTTCCTCACTGTTGATTTCAATTCTCTAACTAACATTTGCTGATTAGATTTTATTGTAAATTGTTACCTATTGTACTCTATAATACATTTGCAATTTAATTAGTTTGAAACTTTTGTTTACTCTGAACATGTATGCACACAAAAGCAATGCGATTAGTATTTCTTTGGTTATTATACAGTACCTGTTAAAGTACCTTTTTTTGAAGATTAAATAAATATAATCCCATAAATCATGATGAAAACTTCAACAATTATTGGCATCATGAACATTTGACACCATCATAAGCCTACATACATTATCAGTCAGCAATAACATCTACAGACACTGAGGTGCAACATTTCTGCAATGCACATCTGTTGTATTGTATGTGCCAACTGAAAGGTCATCAATTGCTGTTGTCAATGGTCAGATCTTGGCTCTGGTAGCTGTGAGGAAGGCGCTGGACTATATTTTCTCTCAGCATGACCTCAGCTTCCTGGATGACGTCATACCTGAGAAGGACAAGAAAAAGAAGGAAGATGAGAAGAAAAAGAAAAAGAAGAAGCAAGGGAGCATTGACAGCGACATGGAAGATGTGAGTGCCCCGAAAAAGCTTTTGTTTTTGCATTAGTTTTAACACTTTATACTTTGGAAAATGTGTTCATTACTTGGCTTTAAAAGGTTATATGAATAATTCAGAAGGTTGTTTAGAACGATATGCAAATATGTGCTGCTGACATTCTTTCCTATCCAAATAAGCGCACAAAAAAACAAAAACAAAAAAAATGACAGAGTGAAGAAAGCATCTGTTCATAGTGATGTTGATGTTTGCACAAGCTCTGCAATCCACCATCAACATGCTGACAGATGATTCAACAGATGATTGATTTTACACAGTTGATTATAACATATAGCATTTACGTAAATTTGTGACCATGGACCAAAAAAATCTACTATTTTTTGGCAAATTTTAGGGAAAATTATGGATTTTCTTTAATCCCAAACGTCATTAGAATAATAAGTAAGGATTGATGAAGTAAAGTTCAATGTAGATATTTTGTAAATGTGCTGTTGTAAATAATCAAAACGTTTCATTGTGCTTTGCTAGGAACTTAATTTGGTTTATGTTTTTGTTTAGTTTTTCTTTTCAGATTTTCAAATAGTTATATCTCAGGCAAATATTGTCATATCCAGTGCTTAATTTGTAAATGAATAATATCCGGAAGAAATACAGAAAATTAATTCTTTTGTGCAATATAACGCTATGGGTCAGCCATGGAAAACAAACAAACAAACAAACATGTAGCTACAAACATAAATCATATGAAACATCACTATTCAGTTTAGTAACACCACTGACATTCAGTTCACTTCACTATTATGTGCCAAACAATAATGACTCATTTTGTCTAATCTTCAAGAAGAGTTACTTTTTCCGTCATGTTTCCTGGCTGACCTGACTCACTTTGCTTCTGTCTCACAATATACTGATCCAGGGGTGCAGTTTTATCTCCTCTTGATCAGGTTTATTATTAAAAAAAAAAATAAAATAATATATATATATATATATATATATATATATATATATATATATATATATATATATATATATATATATATATTGCTTGATTGCCTCTGGCATTTTGAAAGTACAAATATTAGTATAGTTAGGCCATTATGCCTTCATGGCAGCACTGTGATGCAATGGGGAGTTACTTAGCGATGGGTTGCAGCTGGAAGGGCATCTGCTGCATATATATGCTAAAAGGTTAGTGGTTCATTCCGCCATGGTGACCAAAGATTCATTTAGGGACTAAGCCGAAAAGAAAATTAATCAATGACTATGCCATTATTTATTTTTGCTGCTCACTGCGCGTAAAAACAATCACCAACCAATGAGAGTGATTGTAAACATAAGAAAGCTGATTGGTAGAAAGTGACTACCTTTATGTGTACACTCAACATAGCTTTGCTCGCTGTTTTTCACTCAGACTCATTCACATTCTCTCACTCTTACATGCCCGCGCACACACACACACACACACACACACACACACACACACACACACACACACACACACACACACACACACACACACACATATGCAGGTATTCACCGCGCAATAGTTCAATTGAAATATCAATTCAAATAAAATAAATTAAAATAAGTAATTAAAAGCTAAACACAAATATTTGACATTTCCCTGACATTTCCTCAAATTAAGCACTGGTCTTATCCTAACAAAATATGACTCCATGGATAGCTTGTTTTTTCAACTTTCAGATAATACATGAATCTCAGTTTCCAAAATGTTTCATTAGACATAAAATGTGAAAGGTTTTCTTTTTTGAACATATGTTACAAGCTGTTTACACATGGGAATAAAAGGGTGATTAATTATAAAAAAAAAGAAATTACAAATATTTATTTATTTTGATGCATTATTATATATAAATTATGGACCGTATGTTCTAATGACATTTATTTATTTATTTATACAATTTTATTTTTATACAATGTTTTTCATTTTGTGTTTGAACAACAACAAATCTGGACAGTACAGGACAGTACAGAAATCAGGTTCTTGACTAAAAGTACAGATAGCCTAATAAAAAATGACTCCAGTAGAAGTATAAAGTCTTCAATTTTAATATTATTTAAAGTACAAAAGTTATTGATTTTAATTTAAAAAAATCAATAACTTACCTAATTTAATAAAACTAAGTAATGCATGTAAAATAACTTACTGATGCATGATTATTTAGCAAGAAAAATGAAAATTGTAAAACTTGTTAAGCTCTGATAACGATACGAATTATTCAAATGTGCAAACGTGAAATGACATTCACACTTAAGCCCATTCAAATCAATTTGTAAAATAAGTGAATCATTTACTGGAGACTCTGAATTCATCATTTGCATCAATGAGCTGTTGACTCATGAACATATTAGTTAAATTTACAAACTATTTGTTCAGTGCAATTTGTGAACTAATTAAAGAGGGTAATCTATAACATTCAACAAACTCACTATCTCATCTGTGAGCAGGTGACAATTTCTCCCCTTCAAAATAACTTTTTATTCAGCTTTCTTCAGGAAATTTAATAGTTAAAATTAATTTAATAATATTATGTTTTGGATTGTAGTGAAGTAAATAAAAATACTCTAATGAGTTCTTACATTAGTGAAGTAAAAATGCTCTCAGTAGTTACTGTCCACCACTGGAAAATATTTCAGTAACAAAACAATAAGATTACAGAAGCGCGAAAGCCTTAGCAAAATATGAAAAAACAACCTAATAGAAATTTCCAGATTGTTTAGTATAGTTCAATGCTTTAAATGAATCTTTGGGGGAAGTATGTTGTTGTATACAGGTACAGATTGTAAAGCTCTTTTTGACTGTTTCTCCCTGTGCAGTCTGACTATCCTTACAATGAGAATGTCCCCAGCATTAAAATCCCAATGGACATGATGGAGCAGGAGCCTTTTTTAGGAGATAAGGCCTCTGACAGTGAGTAGCCAGAACCCGGGGCCTCAGCTCGACCTGCAGCTCTTTAATGATTCAGCATGAGTGTTTGCTTTCTCTTTTTTATGTATGCGGTGCACAATGACACTTTGCTCCTGTCGCACAATGCCCCTGGCGTTTGTCAACTGACAGCTTCATTACCTCTTCCTGCCTTGTCCTAATCTTTTTGTTTTACTTTTGACTTCTGGTTTACTTTTACACCTTGCTTGTGCCACTATTGTTTCTTGCTAATGTGAATTTAGGGATCATTTTAATACTTTTGAATATTCTTTATTTTTAAAGAGGATTATTACCAAGGCCGGTAAACATCAGTCCTTTTCCATTCACTAAATCTTTTTTGTTGACTTATCCTGTTTTCTTTCCTACTAAATCCTGTATCTTAATTTGTAGTTGTATTAGTCTTAATGACCTACTAATGAAAATGCTAATTTAAACAATTCCATTAAATCCCATCACACACGGGAAATAAAATCCTTGCATGTTTTATTTATTATTTAGTGGTTCTGTTTTGGTGTTCGTTGCATGCATCTGCTGGAGCTTTTCATCTAAATGGCATGTATGCATGATGGTGGTGTTCAGTTCATGTGTTGATAATAATGGACCGTGTCCTTCTTACAGGAGAAAAGTCCGCTTCAATCCTGGACCGATATTCATCGTGCTGAAAAGCGCCACTACTTTCAGTCCAGTCCAATGTCAAGGTGCGCATGAAGCAGCAGTGATGTAATAGTGGAAGGATAACACTGACGATACTTAGAAAGTGAATTACATTTTTTTATAAAATACAGTGCTCAGCATAATTGAGTACACACATTTAAAAAAAAAAAAAAAAAAAAAAAATATATATATATATATATATATATATATATATATATATATATATATATATATATATATGTATGTATGTATGTATGTATGTATGTATGTATGTATGTATGTATGTATGTATGCATGTATGTATTTTTATCCATTTCTCAGTGAATATAGGCAATGTGTTTTGGTGCATTTAAACAAAACAATTTATTTAACAGATATTTTTTATTAAAATATTATTTTAGTGACCAAAACATGCTAGAAAATGAAAGACATTACAATTAAATTTAAGCTAAATATTACAAAAAAAAACATAATTAAAAAAAAAATAAATAAAAAAAATAAATAAAAAAAATAAAATAAATAAAATATATATATATATATATATATATATATATATATATATATATATATATATATATATATATATATGTATACACACACACACACACACACACACACACACACACACACACACACACACACACACACACACAGTGTGTTTCAGTACTTTAACAAACTGCAAACGTCATTTTTTAAGTGTACCTCTGTGTGGCATCAAAATTTTATCCAGTAAGTTTTATATTTGTTTACACAGTTTAAGACATAATTATTATCCCTTCTGGGTTTTTCAAATATTTCCCATTTGATGTTTAACTAAGAAGGTTTTTCAACTCTAATCGTTTGTAACTAATTTCAGTCTCAACTTATTTTGTTGTATCAATCATGCTATTAACATACCATTAACTAAGACTTTTAGCTGAATTAACTACTATTTAGCTGCTAATTAATAGTTAATAAAGTAATAGCTGCACTGTACATTTTTGAGCTGAATCAAATTAACCCAATGAGTGCATTGAACTTATGGTATGTTAAACTGAGTTAACAGTTTTCATAGCTTATAAAATTAATTTAGAACATAATTAACTTAGTTTAATCAGTTACAGTGAACTAAAAACATATGCTGTCATGACTAATTGTTCAAATCATTTTTTACAGTGTGGGTTAAGCTATTAGGTAATAAGGATGTAAGATAAGATTATACTTTCATAAGTGCTAACAAACCATTAATATCTTAATAATAGGCCAATATTATGCCAGTAGTAAATAGTGTAAATTGTACTCAAACTACAGAGTTATTTTATTATCAACCATTTTTTTAATTTTTTAATTTTTATTTTTTTTTATCTTTGTCATAATGAAAGTACAGAAAATTTTACAGGATGCTAGTATTTAGCAATTTAAAGGCTAACTAAGTACTTAGGTTTACTAGGCAAGTTACATAATTAGGCAAGTCATTTTTACAATAGTGGCTTGTTCTGTGGCCAATCATAAAATATATATATATATATATATATATATAAATATCTTAAATGGAAGTTTTAAAAGACTTTTGTTCAAACAAGATTTTATCCAGAAGAAACATATAACAGCAAAGACTGTTAGACATCATCTTGGGAAATAAAAAAATTAAAAATAATTGTAAATAAAATAAGGAGGGGCTAATCATTTTGTCTTCAACTGTACACTCTCAGAAATAAAGGTACGCGACCTGTCACTGGGGTGGTACCTTTTCAAAAAGTACACATTTGTACTTAAAGGGTCCATATTGGTTCTTTAAAAGTAAATATTAGTACCTACATTTTTTAAAGGAACACTTTTGTACTTTTTGGGTACTAATATGTGCACTTAAGGTATCAATATGGACCTTTAGGTACAAATGTGTACCTTTTGAAAAGGTACCACCTCAGTGACAGCTCATGGATCTTGATTTCTGAGCGTGTAGAAAGTGGATTTGCACTTTTTATTTCTAGCAAGAAATTTGTCTGGGCTTTATGGTTACAGTACATACAGTAACATCACCTCTATTATCACGTACAGTCAAAAAATATCTTTTGCAGCTTTTCTAAACTACTTATTTAAACCAGTTGAAACAACACTGCTCTTAAGGTTTTTGGGACAACTTCATTTGTTTTCTAGTTCAATCCACTTACATTTGTAAAAGCGATCAAGTTAACTTGCATGAAGGAACAACATGAATGAATTATGTGGAATGCAGATTTTTTTACAGTATACAAATAATGCATTTAGAGATCTGAATTGAAATTGTTTGGGGGGAAAAACTAGTGAATTTCAATTATTCAGAAATTGATTTGATTTGATTTATTTTTTCCAGTTCAGAGAGACTGCCGTTAAATGTGCCTCAGATTAAAATTGAAATGGACCCAGATGACAACAATGGCTTCTTCTGGAGGAGTCGAGGGTCCGAGACGTCCATCTAACGCTCCAACTCTTCCCATCTGCAGAAAGCCATTTGCCAAGGGACGTTTTGTAAAGCCTGTTCCCCAACACAGACCCCTTCTGTGAAGACTAAAGAAAGGCTGAGAAACAGCTGCCGTCTGATTATTTTCCTCTAAATGTTTCTCAGCCTCCTATGCTTCTGTTCAGTTATTTTACCTGGAAGGCAATGATAGTGTTTGTTATACAAGTGAAATTACTAAACCTACACACAGGAGCCTGAGAAATCATTTAGAAGACTAATTTAGACGGCACTTAGAGGTTTTTGCATCTGAACTCCTCACTCGTCTTCCACTCAATTAATCACTTCGGTTTGCAAGTTGTCATCCTTAAACTACTATGCAATTCAGTTCATTGTTTCACTGTAGAGAAATGCTGTAGCTGCTTTCCAACGAGTATTCCCTCCATTGTCCATCCAATATAATACAAGTCTTTACCAAATTCACTTAACATGCCACTATTTTTTCCTCTATTTTTTGCTGCTCTACCTCTTTTTGAAATGGTAGGCATTATGTAAAGAATAATAATAATAATAATAATAGCTTTTACATTTTTTTATTTGTATTTTTATTTGCACGGCATGAGATTTTATTGTTGATCTTTTTTAGTGTACATGAAACTACACACTTCTGTTATGATGAGAGAAAACAACTGTGACATAATATATTGTACTATTTAACTATTTTAATGATTAACTTTTTAATTATGGTTAATGCTATCAACGTTGATCCTGCTGTTTAATATCTGTTATCACATTTCAGTTGTCTGCTTTCACAAACTATGTTCATGCTTCATTATCCAAACATGGAGTTCACCCAGAAAAAAAATTCTGTCATCATTGACTCCACATCAGTTTTAGTTTCTTTCTTCTGCTGAACATCAATGAAAATATTTCGAAGAATGCTTTAAACATTTTTTCATAATATTTATTCAGAAAGAAGAAACTCATAAAGGTTTGAACCACATCATGGGGAGTAAATGTACATTTATTTATTTTTGGCTGAACTATTCCTTCAAATAAGCCTAATAATTAGCTTTCAAAACATGTTTTTATTTGCTTTCTCACGTGCTTATGGAAAACATGAAATATCAACATGTGTAAACCTCATGTACTTCCAGGTCGGTTGACCTGCAAATTATTTACTGTACCTAAGTGGCTTAAACCTGAATTGCAATAATACATAAAATCCCTTTAGGTTTAAGATTGTCTCATGTAATTCAGATCACTTTTTATTTTATTTGTGCATTATTTACGTGATGTCTAGTCATTGAATGTCATATTACAAGTTGTGTCATTTGTATAAAAAAGGAGAAAAAAATATAAAAAAAATCAACAGTGTGGTACATGCTTTGGACGGAAAATGAAGCTTGAGGTGTGGATTGAAAAAAATGTGTCATACGGTGTAATGAACAACCCAATATCATGTTGATTCCAACTAATTATTGTCATTATTCTCATCTTCCTGTCATTTTTCTTACTTTTTTGGAAAAGAAATTATGGAAAAAAATACATAAATCTATACAGATAGTTTATGGTATTTTCAGAATCAGTTTCTTTTAACCTTGTAAGTATAAGATTTTTAACTTATATTTTTGGGGGTACAAAAAAAACAGATGAAATATATTGTGAAAGCACGTCTGGGGAAATTCTTGAAGGTTAAACAATGCTACATATTAATTGTAGAGACTGTAACACTGATACATTTTTAATCAAGTTTTGTGACTTTTTAGAACAAAACAGCTGAAATTATTTTAGAGTTTATATTTTTCAAATGAAATGAACATTAAAAAATGAACAATTTATTAAATAGTCTCCTTGTTTCTTTCAATGTGTGTGTGTTTTATGTTTGTTTCTTCTATCAAATTTATTCTACATTGTACAAATAGCATACAAATCACACATGTAAATATTTTATAGCTTCAAATGTATTAATCCATACAGCTGCTTGCTATTATATTAACAAAAATCTGATTTAAAATGCTACTCCATCCATCAGTATTAAAAGGGGGGCATGGGTGGGTTTTTAGCCTCTCTGTGTACTTTGTGACATTTACAAATAACGATAAATGACATTTAATTTGTATTCATTGCAAAACATTTCATGTTAAACATTACTCATATGTAAGATCTGGGCAATTGTGATGTTCACATAATGTAGAAACGAGTGTTTTTTTATTGCATAACAAGAACAATATATACAAAAATGAGGAATACGTATACTTTTTTCACAATAAAGAAACAAATCAGTAAAAAGAAAATAAAAATAAATTACAGGGTATATAAAAATTACAAAAAAAAAAAAGGTATAAAAAAAGGATGCCAAAATTGCATACATTCTTATAGCTTTTTATTTGTTGTGTATTTTAGGGTTTCAATCAATTTTAAACAAATGAATGTTATTATGAACAATATTATTATATTATGAAACATTTTTGTGCATTCAAAACATAGATGTTTTATCGATTGCTCCTCTAATTCACAAAAAGTGCAAGTAGATTCCATGTCTCTTACACATTTCTTAACATCTTCTTTCACTGGATACATGAAATGTTTTAGTTTATGTCACTTCTTAATTTATTTGTGAGACAGTTTTTTCTAGGTAAGTTTCAAACTTTTTTCCACTCAATTTGCTCAAATAAGGAATTCCAAAAAGATATACATTTCGGCAACAATGTGGTTCAGCATAACTTTTTAATGTAACAATGATGTAGATAAATTCTGCTGTATCTGGTGAGTGCATATTTTACATCTCGAGCGGTTCACTGAAGATGGCACAATGTCACCATCAAGTGTTCGTCAATCGTCAATGCTGCACAGAGGAATTATTTTCTTTTTTACAAACATCTTCCAACGACTTGCTCAAATGTCACATTGGCCAATTGTGACATTTGAGCAAGAAGTTGTCGCTTCTTTCCAAACTCGAACCTGTTTTTATAAAATGTTATCTTCATCGAAGTGCGTCGGTTTAATCATGTAATCATGTAAAGCTTTAAATCTCTCCCCAGTTCAATATGCAGTGTTTAAAATAACACTCGTATTAATTAAATTAGCTTCCATCATTCAAGTGGATCAATTCAATTGATATCTGGGTAAGAGGTTTGGTCACTGGAGGGCTATAAGTCCGAATTCTTTCAAAAGACTGTCTGACATCTCACCATTATCATGTCCTCCCCTGATATAGATGTTAGAATTAAAGCGGCCGACGTGTTGACCTTCGGCCGACGTCGGCCCAACGTATGTGTGCTGTCTGGAGCTTATCGGGAGTACTGGGAGAATTCCAGGTGGGCATGGTCAATTTTTTTTTTGGCCGCGAGGGCCGGTGTCTTTAGCTGCTTGCAGTGCACTCTCAGCAGCTGCACTTTTTTAATTAATTAATTTATTTTACAATATCTCACTCTTTTAGTTATTTTACCGTAGCTGCTCTACTCTTTTTACTATTTCTCTCAGCCCCGTGAGCAGAATGCAGTCTGCACTGCAGGTTAATGATGACGTATTTATCATTCGACTCCAACAGCGACATAACCATTTGTCAAGAGATATGCAAGAGATGAAAAGTTCATAATAAAAAGCGCAAAGTACAGCAACACATGAAGACGATGAAACGGCCGGTAAGTTAACGTTAAGCTAGTTACCCAGATAGCATACAGTTCTGGGCCACATCTGGGCCAACTAAGGCACATATGGCTCACTTCTGGCAATGGCAGGAGACATATGGGCCAGATGTGGCCCGTATGTGTCACACCGGGTGTAGTGTGAGTTGTGGCCTGCTGTATGTGGGCCGGATGTGGCCCGTATGTGTCACACCGGGTGTAGTGTAAGTTGTGGCCTGCTGTATTTGGGCCAGATGTGGCCCGTGTGTGTCACACCGGGTGTAGTGTGAGTTGTGGCCTGCTGTATGTGGGCCAGATGTGGCCCGTGTGTGACACCCCGGGTGTAGTGTGAGTTGTGGCCTGTTGTATGTGGGCCAGATGTGGCCCGTATGTGTCAAGCCGGGTGTAGTGTGAGTTGTGGCCTGCTGTATGTGGACCAGATGTGGCCCGTATGTGTCACGCCGGGTGTAGTGTGAGTTGTGGCCTGCTGTATGTGGGCCTGATGTGGTCCGTGTGTGACACACCGGGTGTAGTGTGAGTTCTGGCCTGCCGTATGTGGGCCAGATGTGGCCCGTTTGCGACACCCCGGGTGTAGTGTGAGTTGTGGTCTGCCGTATGTGGGCCAGATATGGCCCGTGTGTGACACACCGGGTGTAATGTGAGTTCTGGCCTACCGTATGTGGGCCAGATATGGCCCGTGTGTGACACACCGGGTGTAGTGCGAGTTGTGGCCTGCTGTATGTGGGCCAGATGTGGCCCGTGTGTGACACATCGGGTGTAGTGCATGTTGTGTATTTTTAGTTCCGGTTTAACTTTAAATTAACGGGAGCCTTTGAAGTGGTTACAAATTATTAGAAATTGAAAATCAAAGTTAATTTTTCTTTCTAAGTCTGTACACTTTCGTTTTATGAAGTAGAAAATAGAAAATTTTTCCGATTGGCTACTTCTGCCTGTGGACTGCTTACCTAATGAGTGGGAGGGGCTTTTCTTTCAAACAATACACAGACTCTGATGTGAAGCATCAGCAGTTCTGTGTTTCCTGTGTTTTATTAACATTATTGTCCCTCATCAGGCAGTGAGAGCGCTACACCTTCTCTGAAAATAATAACATTGGATGTTCTAAATAAGACTTTCTGTGATTGAAAATGATTCTTTAGGTTATTAAGAATAGGAATAAGCTATTGCTTATTCGGGAAAGTATATGTTTGTAACCTTATCACATATTAATTCAGTTTATTTCCTCAATAATGGATTTATTTTTACTTTAAGGCTGCTATGAATATAAATTTATATTATCTGTTATATGTAAATGTTCCAGCATGAGTAAAATTCTATTTTTTTCATATTACCTGGTATGTCTATAAATGTCTATAAATGCAATGAATTTCATAATTTATTATGTTTTGATCCATTAATGTTTTGTTCAGTTCCATTTGAATGAATTAAGACAGTGTTCTACCGCCACCTACTGGGTGGATTTAATTTGCTATTAGTACTACTTTTTAATTAACAATTTTACAAATTAATTCATAATCTAATAATGCTGAATTAAAGTGCTGTTTTCTTGATGTTATTTTTTGCAATTCTACATTTTTATAATGATTTTTTTGATTAAATGCCACATACAACATTGTTCTTTTTTATTTAATTTGAATGATAAATAGACATAAATGTTTTGTTTATGAATAAAATAACTATATAGAAAAAATGTCAGAGAACTGAGCAGTAGAATGTGAATAACATGAATGTGTTCGTGAATAAGCTGATCTTTGTAAACAACACAAAGTTTTATTTACTTATTCTACAGAACACAAAAAATAATAAAAATAAATCTGACCAATTTTAATGCACACACCTAACCCCGCTCCTAACCCTACCCCTCACTTTGACGTCACTAGCTCTATTTGAGTGCATTGTTTCTGACATTGCATGTCAAACTGTGTGTCTCAGCTTGCATATGCAAGTCTGCAATCAGATACTAATGCTTCTGCAACACAGCCCTGAGGGTACAATTCTCAGTGCTGGGAAACACCACACATTATATTAATCACAAACTACAGCAAATTTAGTTTATCCAAAATTCACTTATACTGCAAATTTTTGCACTATAGAAGAAACTGGAGGAAACCAACAGAAACAACATGCAAACTCAACATAGAACGGCCCAAAAGTCTATCCTGGTTCTGTGTGTGTGCACCTGTAACAGTGTCAACAAATTTTATAGACAATATGCTATTAATAAGCATGTTAATTAGCAATTAGTTAATTGTAAATATATCTTAAAGTGTTATAGTTTTTATATAACAAGCTACTGAATATTAAAAATAACTGTAAATATTCTAGAATTACAGCATGTTACATAACAGAGCAAGGACATGTTCACAGTATGTCTGATAATATTTTTTCTTCTGGAGAAAGTCTTCGACTAGAATAAAAGCAGTTTTTTTTTAAGTGTTTTAAGTTCAAAATTATTAACCCCTTTAAGCTATATATTTTTTCTACAGTTTCAGAACAAGTCATTTTTATAAAATAACTTGCCTAATTACCCTTACCCTAATATATATATAATATTATTTATATATATATATATATATATATATATATATATATATATTTATTTATTTATTTATTTAAAAACATAATCATAAAACTGCCCCCTGGTGGCGAATATGTGTTTCGCTTCATCCTTGCATTACGGTGGAGTGGGCGGAGCCTCGTGAATGACGGTTATTTTTTTCAAACGAGGAAGTGAAGTCAAGTCCGCCATTTCATCTTCTTTATATCGGGTAAGTTATTATTTTAAAATCATATTTGTGAGATATTTGTCGTCAGGTAATGTTTTTATTTGTTAGAAAAGCCCCTGTTTTCAATAGTGATAAAACTGTAACTTATATGTGGATAATATGGCTAAAAACGGCTAAGAATGATGGCCGCCGTCAGTTCAGTAATCTGTTAAATTGATTGTGCTCGGGGTTTTAACTAATTCATTTAAGTTACAATTAAATGATCAATAAGACGTGTTATATGAAGAACAGCGTCGAAACGGGAGCTTGAATGAATGAATCATATGCTGTCCGTTTTATACAGTTGTAATAGGTGCCGAGTTCTGCTTTTGTTCTGGTTTTAAGCTCAAACACTGAACCAACAGTCTCTTTTTGGTAACGTTAATCCTAATGATCTTGATTTGCTTGTTAATGTGTGTTTTATCAAGTTTCAG